CTTTGAGAAGTTGTCGTGCTCATATGTTGTGAATGGCTGAAATTGCTTATTGTTGCGCGCGAAAGTTGGAGCATTCACTCGCATCGCTTGGCAGCTTTACTAGCGTGAACTCTAATCCCAGCTTGCCCAAAACGCCAACGCCAGCTCCCAAATCTCTTCTTCCCACGTCAACAGCTCCATCGCACCCCATCTCCGGAAAACAAACTCGCCAGTTCGCAGACTCTGCGTCCTGCCAACAGAGACACCTACGAGATGCCAGAGAACAATATGGCCGAGCGCCTCACGGCCGCTATTGCAGCGGAGATCAAGCGAAAGGCCGACGTGCAGTCAGTGAGCACAAAAGCGACGGCGGATGTCGAGGATGCGCAGCTCGAGTTGACGCGCATCACAAAGGAGAGCGAGGTCGCCAAGGCCAAGGCGAGTCGCGATCTTACTGCCATTAAGGCGCGCATCACGGTAAGCGTGTTCTGCTGCAAAGAACAGCCATCAAGCGACACTAATCGAGTCTAGGAGCTCAGCCGTCTGCTAGTCAAGGAAGAGGAGGACGTTGAGAAGGATAAGCTGGAGGAGTTGCTTCGCCCTGTCGTGATCGAGACCGAGCTTCCCCCTCCAGAGGCGACGATCAACGAGACTTCGGCGGATGGCGAGCCTCGTCAGAAGCGCACTTCGACCGCACCTGGGACCACTGCACCTTCTCGTCCTGCCCGGTCCGGCCGCAAGCCTACCCAGCACACACACCGCGGCGGACCCTTTTCCGAGTTGGCAGAAGACTCCACAGACGCCCAACTGAACGCCATGCTCGACGACTGTCCCGACTACACCTCCCTCCCACAATGCACTATCATCGTTAAAGGCAAAGGCGAAGGCGAAGAGCAGCCGTGGTACGAGTTGCAGTGCCCTGAGTGCCACGGGAACTGGTCCGACAGCCACGGCGGCTCTCTTCTCAAGGGCGTTGCAGGCATGGCGACCCATGTGCAGAAGTCTCATCAGTACGAGAAGAAGGATCTCAGCGACCCTGTCATCCTAGAGCTCTGCAATATTCGTACGGTCGAGAAAGACGAGTTACATCACATCCTCCGTGGCGGACATGAGGGCGGCTTGTACGTCGAGCAGAAGCCGCTCGAGACCACCGTCTCCACCTCCTGCCGTGCTGTCGTCAAGAAGCAGAACGAGTACACCGAAGACTGGAAGTTCGTTAAGGACAAGAAGCACTTTGTAGGCTCCTGTCCTTGTATCGTCCAGCATCCAGAGGGCCACTGGGTGCTTCTCGAGTGTCCCGTCTGCCATGGAAACTACACCAGGAACGGTGGCTACCTCCAGAACGGCGTCAAGGGCTTTCAAGACCATCTGTTCCACGCTCATGGAGAGCTGCGTATGACCTCAGGGCCACGCAAGATCATAGATCGCTGCTTCGTGAAGAACATGACCGAGGATGAGGTCCTCCAGATCAAGAAGGCAGAACCAGGCGCTCCTCTGCCGGCTCAGAAGCTGATCAAGAGCACCATACCACCCAAGAGCACGATCCCGGCTAAGCGCGACGTCTCCACTCTGGATGACTCGGATAGCTTGATCAACAACAAATCAACCCGCTCGGGCATCAAGAGACAGGTCCTCTCCAACGGCAAAGCTGCGTCTACTGCGTATGGAGCAGATGGCGATCAGGACGACGAAGAGCCGCCAACAGGTGATTTCGTCGAGGAGAATGAGCCTGAGGAGGAGGAGGAGCAGACCCAGAACCTTCTGGATGCTGTTGAGGTTGTGGAGGTCGACGACGATGAGTCTGGGGGGAACGAGACCGAGGAAGAAGAGTAGGTAGAGTACGAAGAGCTTCAGTGGCTCTCACGTCGTGCTGTCTCACTCACCGGCAGGACCTCTGCACGTCTCATGTGGGCACACTACTGCATGACCCGGGGTAAATCAGCAGCTTAGACGACAGGAACAGCGATGAACGCGGAAAAGACTGTCTCAAGATTGCGTACAACAAGCAGAACTTGCAATGCGATTATTTGAATGTGCTCTGCTCCCTCCGCTGCTTCCTTTGTATTGACTTCCTTACTAACACCAGCTGCAAGAAACAGCAGCTTTCGCATAGACTTAGAACCATCTGCCACATACACGCATACTGGGCGGTTCTCCGGTCAGATGGCGTAGATTGTAACATCAGTTCATGACCTGATGAAGGTTGTGCTCAAAGTATGCAAACTACCATCCGCTATAGATCCTGGCAAAAAATTGGATCCAGAGTGTGGCTGTCCCATCGCTTCCATCCAGCAAAGCTGCGTCCGCCTTCCTTCGACCAGTAGCTTCCTTTGTCCATCTCGTTGACAGACCTCTCCTGCTCCTGCGCTTCTTCCCTCCTCGTTTCCGCCGCTGCCTTCTCGCCCGCACACGACTTGCCAATCGCTTCGAGCTCTTGATCCTGTGGCAGGTCTCTCGCACCAGGAAGAAATTCGAATTCCTCGTCGGCTTCCTTTAATTCGACGGGTTCGACGTCGTCTCCGGGTGTCTTCACTAGCGGCTTTGCTTTGAATCGAGCAGCTGTGGACTGAAGATTCTTCTGATATTTGCCGTTTTTCCTCGATTGCGTTGGGTGAGGACAAATTGGAGTGGTCCTTCTCGTCGCCCTGGTGACCTGTTAGGGGGGTGAATATCGAAAGGGGAAGGAACGAACCTGGAAAACTCTAGTTAGCGTTGTCTGAGACCGCGCGCCTGTTTGCTGGCTGGTTTGCTTCCCCTTAGGAAGAACAATAGAGGAATGTGTACAAATAGGCAGGGTTTCCCCGTCGAAACAGCATAGCCTGTACCACTCAAGTTCCTTCTATTACTTTGCAGAGTTTTCTTATATAAAGATGTGTTGTATATTCAGGAAGGTGAGGTTCTGTTTACAGTGGGGCCAGGATTGACGCTAGCCATGTGATGTTTTGGGACAGAATAGCCCGCTTCACCGCGTGCTCTTTGGCCAAGATTCTCCTCACCACCACCGCCACCACATCCCCATCTCCAACAATCCGCCGAGCACGACAGCGACGACGACGACGACAGCATGACCGCGATTGTTGGACCAGAGATGGAGATGTGGACCGACGGGTCCGTTGTGCCAGACACTTTCTCCGGGTGGGCCTTCACCCTACCCTCACTGCCCGGAGCCACCACCTTCAAGGGCCAGTGGTTCGCGAAGCGCCGAGAGAGTGATGTAACACTCACCGAGCTGCGCGGCATCCGAGCAGCCCTGCAGTACCTGACGTCCTCGAGCCCTCGCGTCGGTGCGACCGAGGTCAACTCGGCACGCAGGATAGATATCCACACGGATTGCCAGGACGCTCTCGACGAGATCAACCTGGAGCGGGGTGATGGGTATGAACTGCATCGGAATGCGTTCGGCTGGAAATGCTACGTCGAAGACGTCCCTGCCCATCACCTCGATGTCGTGAGAGGCATCATCGCTTCAGTGGAGACCTTGCTGAGCCAGTACGGCATCCGTGTGATACTATCCTGGCAAAGACGTCGTACGACTGCAGGCGGCATAGTAGCGGACAACTGGGCCAGCCAGGGGGCGGTAACGGCGATGAGGCTGGCGGGCACCACCCGGTACGAAGTGAACGGCACTTTTTAAGTCCCAGCCGGCGCTGCTGGTCACAGCGTCGCGATGAGACCCTCTGGGCAAGGGCACCAAACCCGGGCGATGCTGACCAACAGCATCGCGAGAAGACCCACCGGTAGGGCAACGGGGACGGGAATCCGACTTCACGCCTCCACGCGGTCGTCTCTGGGTGGCGCCGGTCGCCAGCTAGAGTGAAGAGGTCGTGATCTTTGGAGATCAACAAGGGCATTTCGAGGCACTTCTCCACGACAGACATATCAAGGAGCATACATCTGCAGAAAGCGCAACGCATGAGAAGAGAACTCAGAAGGCAATACTCAAGACAACAACCTTCGACCGTCGACGACTGTACCAGCGCAGACTCTCTCTCATCAATGTCATCGAGCATCCTTCGCCAGACACGCCGATGAATCTTACCCAGCCTTGCCGACAGACATGGCAACAATCCATGTTTGCTTGCAGCAGACACCCAACCAACCTGTGAACCGATACAAGACCATCGCGACGCAAGCTTCACCATCCCCAAATCAAGCATGTTCTTCGCCCGACCACATTCAGCCGCCAGCAAACATACACCTGGTCAGAAACACATATATATTCGCGGACACCAGAAGCGTGCGGTTCAGGATCGACCGCCATGCCGTAGTTGCACTGGAATCCACACAAATCATGTCGCAACATCACCGGACCTCGACACATCATTCCAGCATTTCACCCAAGGTATATCCAGTTCATACACCCTTCCTTGGACGCAAGAGCAGTAAGAGCAATGACATCGCACCCTACGCTCGAATTCAAGACTCATGTGAACCCGACCCGTGAGCTGCAGTCAAAGCGTGCTTGTCCAAGTGGCAAGACGATGCATGCTCGGGGCATAAAATTGATCAAGTGCTCTTTGGTCTCTGCAGCGAATTGGAAGAACAGTTCTCCGTGGTCCGTCGGTTTGGTTCAACAAAGAACAGCATAATAACCTCTTCAAAGACTCTAGATTCGAGTTCCCCCTTTCTGATCGGTCAAAGAATGCTATTTCAACGGCTCTCATTTGGCGCACAAAGCCACTCTGTGCCCGGATCCGGAATACAATCAACCTGGAGGGCGGACGTTTCTGGACTTAATATTGCAGTCTCTCCCAAACAACACAGCCAACAGCAATCTCTGCCTCCGGATACTATACGAAATCACAGACTTCGCCCCACATCGCAGTGGCACCCTTTCTCGTTCTGCACTCACCTACTTGGACTCAAACCCGCAGCTCTGCAAGCCAGAGACACTGTACACACACCGCAACGTACACTTTCTCGACCTTCCGCATTCGTACTTCTGAACGTACGCGATAGGAACAGCATGGACTCGCGCCGACAGGACGGCAGGCCGCGCGCCTCTCGCAACTACCTCCAGTACACATCCCTGGACGAGAGCAGTCTCGGCATTCCGCGACCCCCAGGACTAAGCCCCGCCGAGCGAGTGCAGCTAGAAGAACGATACTCTGCTATGCAGCAAGACCTAGACCGCCTGCGCCACGCGGAGGAACTCGTGCGACGGTCAGAGAGAAGACGACATTGGGAGGCAGTGGCTCGCCGGAATGAAGAACGTCTCCAGGAGTACCAGGAAGCGAAGCCGGGTTTCTGGAAAGACTTTGAAGCTGCACTCAACGTGTGGAGCGAAGACCAAGATGTCGACACGGCGCGCGCATACCAGGAATTCAAGGCTCATGAATCAAATGCACGAGCCGCAAGCTACTCCGAGGTTCGCTTCGTCGGTATGCTAATGTGGTTCCGCAGAAAGCCACAGAAGGTTGCCACAGCGCTGAGAGATCTTTGCAAGTACCTGCATGGCGAAGCAACGTGCATGTGGCTTGTGGTACTTGCGCAGGACAAGTCCGACGAAATTTACGGCCTTCGAAAATGGGGTCCAGAAATCCACCACGCTGCTTCGAACACCAAGATGAATCAGCAGCTATGGGATAACGAGGAGGGCCACTACACCAAGATTGAAGTGATGGGCTTCGTTCCTTTCGGCACTGGCAGAGATTTCAAATCGATTCGCTCGCTTGCAAGCTACTCGGAAGAGCCCGTCTTCAACTTTTCCGTCGCCAAGCAGCTCGAGATGATCCGTGGAGGACTCGAGGCGAGAAAGATCCTTCTCAAGCCCGGGGCCGAGCCACGATGGCAGCCGGGCAGGAGTTACGACGACTTCGTCGACTGCAAGATGATGGAGTACACGGTCAGAGCTCTCCAGTTCTTGGACAAGCCGATGGGGTCGTGGATGACTTGGTCCAACAAGCAAAGCGACCACGAACTGTACGGGAACGTCTGCCGTGAATTCAAAGAGTATGCTGCTAGCAACAACTTCGATAAGATCTTCGAAGCGCGTCAGAAGGTGCCCCAATGGCGCAAGGAAGTCGCGAGGTACCAGCGTCTCCAAAGTTCCATTGACGACGAAGAGGACGACGACGACGACGACGAGGACGACTATGTTGATGATGTTGATGATGTTGAGGATGTTGTTGCAGAGGAAATTGCAACCCTACACGAGAAGCTGGAAGAACAAGTGTCGGAGTTTTTTGCATTTGAAGGAGAGTTTGGGGAAGGGGTTTTGGGAATGGAATGGAAAGACATCGCTGCGGCGCTTTGAACAACGATGAAGATAAGGATGGACTTGGAGGATAGCGTTATATCCTTGACGCAACGTGAGAACACTAATTCGGCTTTGAAGAATCGTAATTCGTGGAGTAAGAGTGGTTGCAGTAGGAATCTTCAGAATAGCTTTGGAGTCGGTCTGCCCGAGAAAGAAGCCAGCATCAACATCATCTCATTCGGAATCCGACAGTTCATAAGATCCAACAAGCTATCGTCATCCCCAAGCTGAAGCCCTCAGCGTTCATCCTCAGACTCTGCCCTCTCGATTCGAGGCTTTGTGACAGGCACCGAAAGCTGCCCGTATTGCTGCGCCTTGAGCAGTGTTCAACGCATCCCTGCTTCCTTGTGTCTTTCACCTCTTAGGCTTTTGTTTCTGGAGTTGCAGTAGAGCGCTGAAGGCTGCGTGCCTTATAACAGCAATATAGAGGTAAATCACCCGCTGAAACATCGACGCTTTGCGGCACCTCAATTCCCCAACGGAGTCTGCAATACTGGCCAGTTCCATGCGCTCCAGGAACACCTAACAGCCATTGGAATCGTTATCCATTCGAAGAGCTTCGTGAGACCGCATGACCAAGCTCTGAGCATGCTTGTGCGAATAAATCTAGATGTCGCTTCAAGAAGAGTCAAGTGGAGATGGTGTCCAAAGCTCGTCGGCTTCCCTCTGTTCCGAATGTTAAGACTGGTCAGGCTCAAGGTTGGGAGTAATGTATCTCTCTCCAGGCTCCATGGTAGACTGCGCCGTTCAATGTTCCACTCCGCTATGAAGCAATGCTCTTGTAGATTCTTCAGGCTTGTTGGTCACAGCGCTTGTTAAAAACCGTGGACGTAGCATCCGATATCGTCGTACTGCTCCAGCTGATCACGACACATGCGTGGAAATAGGTATCAGTGAGCTAGTATACGCCGTATGACTTTGCGTTCACTCTTATACACGACTATGGCCACTCTCTTGATCGAGCCGGCTGCAGCGAGCTCAGCCGCGAACCGTTGCAGGGCCAAGTCCTGGATACACCACGGATTCAGAAATCCAGCTGGCCAGGATTGCGCACTGATGCGCAGCGCGGGTGATGTTGTGAAATGTCGATTCTCCAGTCGTGATGCATCGAAAGTAGCTCAAAATCTCCCGGACTGGAAGTCGAGCCGATCAAACTTCCCTTCGCCAGACGTAGCGTGCGAGGATGGCGGTCTAACGGAGCTCGGGAGGTATTGCATCGAAGAGACCGGAGATATCTAGCAATTAAATTCCTGCTGTACGAATGGAGGGTTGACGGAGATTATGGAGTTGATGAATGGTGGCGATGCGTTGCAGCATCCTAAATTATGGTACCATCCGCAGCCAATAATCAGATGGGCGGACCGTGAAACTTTAAATTACGGCTCACTTACCGCACAAATTCTTCACACATTGTCCCCAAATTGCAGCATTTTCAACTATACATCTTCCCCCTCCGGACCACGATAACACGTCTTCCGCTGGAGAAAAAGTGTTTATCAAGCTCATCCTCCTCGAGCTCCTTACTCCTTCCAGTGCCCGCCCACACACCGACCTCGTCCAGCCTGGATTTCCTCAGATCAACCACATCGACCGCGCTGTACTATTGCAGAAGAGCTCCTCATGTCAACCGCATCAACCACATCAACCGCAATAGTCTCGCAGCGACTCTCTACCATCGCAGAAGAGCTCCTCACTCCTTCTAGTGCCCGCCGACATCTACTCCGTTCAGCCTCAACTTCCTGATCTCAACCACATCGAACACAACAGCCTCACAGCGAAACTGAACTATGGTAGGAGAGCTCCTCACCCTTTTCGGCGCCCGTCTAACGCTCGACGATTTGCGTAACGAGAGGGAGAAGTAGGGACAGGGGAAAGATGAGAACAAGCTGGTTTCCTTGCTGGATCTATTCCTAAGCAACAGCAACAACAGGCTCTAGCCTCTCCCTTCGCGACTTCCACTATGCCAAGCCAACGCATCATTCACGCAGCATGAGACTCGTTGCATTCTATGCACTGACCTGGAATCGGTCGACAATCTAGCTCAAGCATGCATCAGTCCTGTCAGTAGTGTGTTGCATCACCTTACGCGCAATTTCTGCCGGACTGGTCAATAAATGAGCGACAGCCACTTCACAGCTGTTTCCGCGCGTCTCGTAAACGACATGACACTGCTGCTCCGGCTGAAGTACAAGCGTAGGATGTCCGCAAGAGCTTCATATAACCCCTCTCCGCCACGATCAATTCGACTTTCACTCGCGATACAACGGATAATCTCCCTGGTCTCGGCGGCGCGAGGCGGTGGTACGGCGCCATTCCGTTTCTCGCGCTTTGTGGAGACGTTGACGGACTTTTCTTTGCGGCTCTCCTGCTGCGGCTGGATTGCGGCTGGATGTATCCTTCGTCTACTACAGGGCTAGTAGGGCTTCCCTAGACCTCAATGTGTTTGCCAAGGGTTACTTCCATTCCCTCTTTCCATCTCTCTGATTCTTCCTCTGCTGGAAGACGACGGTTACTGGCATGCCGCATGCAGAAGCTACCACGAAATGACCGGCCGATGGAATTGGACGAATGCAGCGCAACGGTCCGTTCTCTCACACAGGAAAGGGCCGGCCGTTTGGCAGTGGGGAGCGCAGAGAATATCATCCGCAGGCCTAGCTGCTACCAACGCCTCCTCACAAATCTCCAGCCGCCGGTGTCGTCGTCGCTCGACGTGGAGTTCCTGGCGATCGGTGCAAAACAAGACGTCCCACGGTACCTTTTGGACCGTATGGTGTCACACGGCGATGCAATGGATACACATTACAAAGCTTAGTCCTTGAGGTTTTGACTGCGGACTTGGCTACTTCGACGTGGAAGTGAGACCTATCTGATAAGGTAAGCTGTCTGGAATCTGATGGGAAGGTCGGGATGTGTGACTGACGAATGTGTAGATCATGCAAGATTCCGAGAGCAAGGGCCCTTCGCACATGCCCGGCCTATTCTGGCCTCTCACAAATCCCACCATCCAATGTCGTCACATGGTTCTGGACATCCTCTCTTACTTGGCGGACCAGGAACAGATAGCTATGCGATCAGTCAATGGCACGTTCTGCGCCACAGCACATGCAGAATTCATGAAAATCCGAAAAAGCCCAATTGAGCACGCGTGGATGCTTGCGACCGTCGCCTGAAATGAGTGGAAAGAAGCACAGAAGACACAGCAGATTAGCACTTCGACCAAGCAGTGCTTCACTACAGTTCTGCAGAACGCATGAACAGCTTTTGAGACGAGGAGCATCGGCGAGATGATTTGAGGGGTCGTGAACCAGAAGGAAAGATGCAAGGGGGGCAGGCAGGCAGCATGTACCCAAGGAAAAGACCGGGTACGATGCGACATGCGCTCGAAGTCTGGGCCAGAATTGGGACCGGTAGTACGCAGAACATTGTCATGACGATACGAAATTGAACGTTCCTTGCGGTCACATTCTTCATATTCTTTATGGACGCGATGCGTCTTTCTGCAACCTATCGTGAGCCGGTTGTGTCTCCACAATCCTTCGGACGCGAAAGATGGAGAAGTGCACTCGAAAAGACTAAAGACAGCTTCATCGGGATGGGAATAGGAAGCAGAGGTGAGTCTATCCACCCAAAATGAAGGCGAAGGCAAGCTGACTCGAGGGTTGAAGTATGGTTCGGCCAGGGTCTGTATCGAGCGGCAGGCGTTTATAGATCCAGTGGAGAGGGAGTGACACTGGCAAAAGACACCACCAAGCCACGTTTGGCACTACTTCTCGGTCTGCAATCTCGTTTCTGGATTCAGCATGCAGCGTCTTAGCAATGCTACAACGCCCAACATATGGATTACCACCGTCTCCACACTTCTTGATCTTGATGCGCAAGAGCTCAGGTCAAGGTCCAGAGCGCTTCCAGATTCCTTGCACCACTTTCTCCGTTTCCCTCCCTACTTCTTCTCCCCACCGCCCTCTTCCAAGAACCACAACGCGTTCCTTAAGTTCTTCAACTGCTCCTCCGTTTCCTCAATTCGCTTCTGCCAGAACCGCGCCTGATACGAATGCACAGCAGTGGACAATTTCCCCTGCCTGCATCTTAATTCTTGATTCAGCAGCCCGAGCAGTCTGATCCGCTTCTGCAAAGCGCTCTTGTCGCGGCCGGAGCGGAGAAGAACCTTGGCAGTGTCCAGAGTCTCGGAGGACGCGTTCTTGAGTGGCTTTCGCACAAGGAGCTCCGCTGCCTCGAGGTCTTCCGAGCTCATGACCTTGCTTTGTGCGGTGATGGTGTTTTGAGCCTTCAGAGTGCTGATTTCCGATTCGAGGTTCTCGATCGAGATCGCAATTTGTTCGAGGGGGGAGGACTCGTGTTGGAGCTCAAGCCACATGCGCTGAGTGTCCATCTTGGTGAGAGGACCGTAGCTTTGATGGGAGCCCATTTTCAGCGTCTGTTGAGTAAGTTTTGTTTTTGGGGTGTCTGGCCGGGTATGTTTGTAAGGGAGAGAGGACAGATGACGGTCTTTTTGTGCAGCACAGGCGCATATAAGAGCAACGTGTTGTAGAAGAGGATTCACAGCTGTGGTCACTTCACGAGTATGCTGCGATGATCAGCGTGAAAGAATTTTGGAAGACAAAGAGATCTGAGCGATTCACCAGACAGAACAAAGCATTTGGCGCCAACAAAGCCATTGTCCCTATTCAAATCATCGCAATGATCGCTGACTGGATATTATCATTCTGATAATGAGTCGTAGGGCTCAAAGAGCCCAGGAGGCGCTGCGTCCAGACCGAGAGGCTCTGCACCCTCACAAGACCATTATGGACCTACGTGCGAGAGTAGGTAACGAGCTGTCGTCAACGAACGATTTGAAGAGGAAGTTCGGCGTCAGACCCTTTCCTTGGCAGATTCAGGGAGGCCAAAACACTCTGGTGTAAGCTGTGCGAGAAGTCGACGTCAAAGAACTCGCTGTCTTTCTGAATAGTGGAGCCTGTCGCGGCAAGTAGAATCTCACGGAGCACTCGATGTCAGCTATTATAATTCAATCGAAAGGGGTCTCAAGAGATATATGCCGAGAACAAGTGGTGTAGAATTCAGAGGAGCTGGGCTCCCAGATTGAGGGCGTATAATGTTCTTTGAAAGGTATACTGGCAACCTCGATGTCGCTCCAGGCTGAAGGCACTGAGGCGAAGTCTTTTCTGGTTGATCTGGAACAGGAAGGAGAGGGAATCTTGGGAGATCTCTCTTCTGCTCAGGAGGTCGTTTGGTGCCGAAACTTGGTAGGTAGGACAGGACCCTGCTAATACGGTAGATTAGCTTGACAAAGAACGACACATCACGATTAGATACTCACTGCAATGCTCAGTTTCCTTGACCAGCGCTTTCGTCATTCTTGACCATGTCCCTCCTCATCGTCGGAGTGCCGCCTCTTCTTTCCGCCCTGAGCGTCTCTGTTCTCGGAACTGTGTATTTCGTTTTCGCCTCCTGACTGTTCCGGTGGTGTATTGAGCCGGCTTCTTTCCTCGTCTGCTGCTTGATTGGCAGCTTCTATTCTGACGAGAGCCTCAAGGAAGCGTTGGTGCTGTCTGCGGCGCTGGTGGGCGGTGTGCTGTGCTTCCATCACCGCCTTCGCGAGATCGCTGTGCTGACCGCCTGCCATCTTGGCTTCTGAGGTTCCTCCAGAAGATCTTTCGTGTAAATGTCGCGGGGGCGCTTGCTGATGCCTTGGTATGAAGCCGTCTCGCTGGGAATGGCTTCGCGAAAAGGTGTCTTTATGGGTTGGTGCAATGTTATAAAAGCCTTCTAAGTGGTGAAGTGAGTATGATGTGAGAGAAAATTTGAACGTGAGCTAATCCTATTGTCGTTTTGGGCTTGGTAGTACTTTCTCCGGCCACTTGCATGTGACAATATGAATGTATTGACAAACACACGTGAGTCATGTTTGTCGCCAATAATGGGAGGTGGGATTTCCAGTGATTTCTCCCACCTGAGTCCATGTGCCCTTGACGTCGTCTGGCTCTCCAGGTGTGGCTCTGCTCAGACTCACAGTAGCGAGACTAGTAGTGCTTCGCGGACTCCAGGTTTCGCAGACATATCAACGAAGCCCTTTTTGTACACAGTTGAATGCCGCCTATCACATCGATTGTACATTATCGGGAAGAAAATTAGTTTCGCGTGGTAACGCGTAGATACTGGAACATCACGGGTCGGCACATCCGTATTCACCGTACAAATCGGCGAGCCCGCAGCCATGCATCAAGCGTCAGGCGCATTGTGCGAATCGAGAACAAATCAGGGGATGTATTGTTTCGGAAAGACGTGCATCATTTCGAGCAAGCTTGACACTGCTTGGGCGATTACGTGGGGTATTGTGTTTGTCTGTGAAGGCTTTGATAACCCGTCATCGGCAATTGTCTCCTCACTCCTTCATCTCTTCATCTCTTCAGCTTAAATATGCCCTCCTGCTCCTGGGTTCCCTTAATCCTGCAGACTATGACATCCTTTACACATTGTACATGAAGAATTGAGTATACCCAAGCTGACGCCGCACAAGGTTAAGCTCATCCCTCACCTTTCTCTCCTCATCCGAGTGCTCCTGTGGGGGCTGTGACTTGTCGTCGTTGGTATCGAGGTCTAGCCATAGCGCTACGAGGTGCGAATGCTTGACGATTAACTCGTACCCGTGACAGATAGGACACAACGCTGCCCCTCCATTCTGGTAGATTGCGTATAGCAAATCATTCTCCACATCGCCGTCGCTCTCAACATCCCAGCTGAGTCTTGGGTGTGATTTCTCCAGCTCAGCTCGGGAGCGCACGTACCCATCCTCACAGGTTCGGAGCCGGCATTTGTCGCCCTCGAGGACTTTCCGAATGGCGTATGGTGCCGGATCGAGGAAGTAGAGATCACCGCTGCTCAGCACTTCCGCCAAGCTCTCGTTCTGGTCGGTGTAGTCGATCAAGCCCTCGGTGCCTGCGAGGACTAGATCGTCTATGCCCTCTTCGTGGAGCAGCTCGACTGCCGCATCTGAGCGGCTATCTTGGGCGAGGAACGGGGCGATATCTGTCGCTGCCGAACTCCAGATCTTTTCGAGATCGAGAAGGAAAATGCCTCCTTCTGCACGCCAGGAGGGAGCGGCGTGCCAGAAAACGAATAGGTGCGGGCGTGGCGTGCGATCACTAGGTCGCTGACGGTGGGGCGCGCGTCGGACGAGGATGATATCTCCTTGCTGTAGAGTTGCGAGAGCATCGACATTGGAGCTCTGGTAGCTTGGAGAGGGTGTGGCGAATTGGGGAGTCTCGGTGACTGTGGTGAGGTAGGCCTCGGCTAATGCGTTGCCGTCAGGGCGCGTGGACTCGTCCATAATCGAGTACGTAGTATCAAGATGCAAGTGAGAGGTGAGAGGGAAAAATCGACGTCGTGGTTGTCGAAAGCCGCAGCCGGCTGCTCCCGCGCACGGACACTACCGTCACAAGAAGTCCGGCAGAGAACTTGTCTACCGACTCCACCACACGAATCTGCGAACATCGCTCAACACAGTCTTCAGGATCGCCGAGTTGCACGTACCCGTAGAGATGGCGACAGCAGACCAGATCCACGCCGCCACTCTCGCCGCCATTGCCGCGCAGATGGACGACGGCACCTACAAGGGAAATCCACCACTTGAGAAATCGATCGCCGAGGGAGAAGCAATGGAGGCCTGGAAGGACATCGTCTACGGCTTCGGAGAGACTGGAACATACGTTGGAATGATCGCCAACGCGCCAGAGGCTGCGCCGATGAGCTACTCTCTCCTCACGCAAGCAATGGAGCCGCCTGTCCCCGAGTACGCGACCAAAAACCAGGAGGAGATGCGGATTCCACTGGCGGTATCTAACGCAAAGAACGCCGTCATGAAAGCTGAACAGGGCGCGAAGAGTCATGAGGCGGGTTCAGGGCGCAGGACGCTTCCCGGAAGTCATACGACGATGGAGTGGGAGAGAGAATGCAGGAGGTGCACAAGGAACACGCCGAGCGGAGAGCATCGCCTCGATCGGCCGATGAGTCGGATGAGCAGGAAAGTATCAACATGCGACCGCTTACCTCTCCAATGAGATGGGAGCAGAGACAACTCGGATGGAGAGTCCACATCCCAGCCACCCTGCTGAGGTCTCTTGTTTCTGCTATCGGGCTTGCTGATAAGCAAACAAAAGGCCTAACGGAGTTTCGCAGGACCAAGAGAGGACTTCGCAGAGCTCTTGAGGAAAGCTTCTGTCTCCTTGCTGATCAGACCGGAGAAGCGACCGAGCGGCAAGATGTCGTTCTTGGCGATGTAGCGGGTGTAGTAGCGATGAAATGCGGCCAAAGCCTCACGTTGACCGTTTTTCACGGCTTGTTCGAGCTTCTGCAATTCGGCCTTAAGGTCTGAGTCTGGAGTCAATGGTTTCATGATATGGGTGCGGCGGGCTAGGGCGGTATGGCGGTGGTGGGGCTGCCTGTGAAGCTTTGGAGGGCTGGGGGACGGGCTCAGGCGAACCTAGAAGAGCTTCGAGGCAGTGATACATGGCGATGGCCGCAGCAATGGCGGCAGGCATGGCAGTAGTAATGGCAAGAGCAATGGCAGCAGCAATGGCAAGAGTAATGGCAATGACGGGCGAAGGAAGTTCAGGTGCGGGAGGAGCATGGCGGGATAGGTAACTGCTGCAGCCTGCAGGAGCGTGCGAAGTCTCCATCCGAGTTGTCTCTGCTCCCATCTCAAGAGCAGTCTATCGAGCATTGGAATGCAGAATGTGCGGGGCCTGAGCCAAGGAGCTGCAATTACTTCTGCTGCGACTTGCAGTAGCTTTTGATATATGAAGAGTTCTTTGCACTCCAAAAATGGGTGTACGACGAGGATCATCGCTTGACGGACTAGCAGATTCCCATTGTAGCCTTCGAGCTTAGCGGTCGCATCCTGCTTGCTGTGTTCAAAGAGGTGCCTCTGCTCTTTACTGCCTTTGCGATGAAATCGTATCTCGAGTTCAAGCACGCTGCGATAGGAAATGGTTTCAAAAGGCGACGGTACGCATGTGTTACCCCTCGATGTACGTGTAGCTACGTGTCAGTGCAGTCTCTCGTCGTAGAAGTGTCCTCTTCTATTGAGCACTCATAGGCCTAGACAAAGATTCATGGGCCAGCGATTGAGACGTTGAGTGAGACATCTACCGACTCAAAGTGCTTGGGCATACTGTTGGATTTAGGCAACGAGAGCTGTTTTGGAGCTGCCGCCTTCGAAGCGGGTCTACAGCTGGCGTACGCGTAGCGGTCTCTTAACCGATATCTTACCTACTAAGAGATGCATTTGCGCTATACCGGTCAGACGGTAGGCCTTCGCCTTAACTGTCCTTCCTCTTCCGTGGATATAGCAGCCTTAATACTATAGGAGCAGATATTAGCTAACGGGACGTACGCGACGTAGATAACTAGTAACCGCGTCGCAGGCCCTAATTTCGTAAGGCCCTGCCCTACGACTCGGCTACGAATCTTCTACTATCATAATCGTAGGAAAATGCTACTACTCGTTCCGGCATACCGTACCCTCGCACCCGCAGCCGCTTAGCCAGTCCCTCTCGTGCCGCCGGCTCTTATATACTAATACGTGACCGCACCTCTTCTACCCGCAAGGGCTCTGGCTCCCGTAGTCGGTTCGCCGACCTAGAGGACGGGGAAACCCCCTCTAGAGGTCGCAATACTACGCCTCGGTCTATCCTGCGCTCCGGCTCACGCCGCAACAACTCTCGCAATCGGTCTGCCACCCGCTAAGCACTCGTCGCCGGTTCGCCCGTCGTCTCCTTCCGAGACACGCCTCGTCGCCGCAATCCAACCGCAACCGACCGTGCCACGCCCTACATCGACCTCACGACGCTGAGAGTTCTATATGAGACTAATGTACACGCGATACGCAGAATTGCAGATGAAGTAGTAATAACACTCACTCTTACTCGGATTGTCTATGCCGGGACTCAATTACTAGCCGCTGAAACGTTCCTGTTCAGTTGGCTCCACTCCGATCCTCCGTAGTTCTCGAACAATACACTGTCGCCCATCCCGATGAGCCGGTACTCACGGGAATTCCTGGCACTACCTTTCGAAGAGATAAATCCACCCTAAATAGATAGAGATTTCTTCTAACGCGGTAGTTTATTCTCAATACAGCCGGGGCATCTGCTATTGTGCAAGCAATGGAGCACAATAGAGAGACATGGTGTCTCGCCGGGCGACAAAGCCTCTTGATAGGGAGCAAACGTGACACTCAAAGGGTAATAGAATTCGTGAAGCAAACCAAATATGATGCTGCAAGCCATAAGACCAAACGAGAGCCCACATGTCGGTAGCATCCTTTCTAATGGCTCATCAATTCTATATACTCTCCATGGAATATTACAAGCCTTCAATCCTCGAGCTTGTTAACGTTCTAAGGTCGGGCGGGACGGGTGAGCATTCACTCTCTTTACGCGCCTTACTGAACAAGGACTTCAACTGACGTGGACTAGAGCAGTCACTTCACTGACAACACCGAACGAACCTTAGCTTCCTCGTTGCTTTCCCTTATCTACACCTCTTTCCACGCACTGTAGCACGAATTTCCGGACTTCTACTACTCACCTCCTTTACTCGAGCTCTACAGGATAGCGAACGAGCGCCTTCGTCTTCTAATAGTGCACATTTATCCAACCATATTTTTTGAAGATGCAGACTACCGCTGCCTCCTCTCAAGCATTGCTGGTCACGTACGTTCCGGAATTCATCGCTACCGACGTCCTGAAAGTACTCGAGCCTTTTGACACGTTCATCTCGAATTTTGCGACTCTTTCGAGCGATAGTCAGGACAGCGATTGCCCAATCTGCTACAACCCGCTCGACCCTGCCGACGGGCATTCGATCTTGATAGGAGGTCAAAGCGCCGCGGACCGTCTCATCGTCACGCCGCATGTCTGTCCTCACTCATACCATGTGGGCTGTCTTGAGTTGAATTTCAAGATGAGCAGGGACTGCCCTTACTGCCGCCGTACGCTTGTTCCACAGCCGACATACCCAGTATTCTACGATCTCATCCGTGACATCCGCATGGGTCTCTACGACAGTAGTCTTCACATCACGGAGCGCCCTCTCAAAGTTGCAAGCGATAATCTCACCGCTGCAATCGTCCTCGCTGCCTTCGCATGTTTCACTCTGCGGGGCGAGCAAGAGGTTTGGATGGTCCGCAATTCCTCGTACCCTTTCGTCGTGGCTGGAACTGAGGCGGGTCGTGCGATGGTGGCCCAGCTTCTCGAGGCGGCTCGCAAGCTCGACGGTCGACGTCGAACCATCGAGTATCTCCGTGAATACCTTCTCGGTGAGGCTGTCTACGAGACCTCGCTTAGCAGGAGTGTTACTCCGGATATGGAGTGCTTTGCAGCAGTTGTTTCCAAGTTTTCCGTGCACGTCTTCGCTACGATCGCTGCCCAAGAGCAAGGCCTCATGGACCAAGATTAGGTAATTTCAACGCTGGTACGGGAGCGTGATGTGTCAGACGCTCGACTGATCCGTGATATAGCTGGCGATCGAATGTCTACGCTTATATTGTCCCCAATACGGGCAAGCCCCAGCCACGCTACACAATCATGTCGACCTCCCCTAACAGCAGACTATAGATAGCACTTGGACGATTTAGCGAGGGTTGGATTGTTCATTGTCTTTGACGAAGCTCGAACAAGGCCTTTGTCTTACCTAGAGCAAGAATTGATCGGCCGGCGCCGGTACAATAGGGTAGAGGCTATGTACAGGAATCTCTGCTTTATTATGCATCTTCTCAACGCCGGTTCCGTTACATGTCCGTAGATATTTCCTACGACACATCCACGATACCGGCCTTCAAACGTGCATTGTCCCCGGCACCTCTATTACAAACCGATTCTCTTGTTCTTCGGTTTTTGCTGTCTGTCTAAGAATGTGTGCTTCTTTGAGTCAATGTTTCTTCGTTGGCTCCGCAAATATTATCGCAGCTTCCATCCATTGTATGCATCTTCCCTTATTAGCAAAGCAGCAAGCGATGAGAGTGATCGTAAGTAAACAAAATTGAATACATGAAGCTTCAACCCGTCAAAAGTTGACTCTATTGTGAGTCCGAACCATTCTGTATACTAGATGTAGGCAAAGCCCTTATGCGGTACTTGTCATCTCCATTATATTGTCTTACCGCGCCAATATACTTGACAATGTGTACTCGTAGCTCATTGGTCAGGAGGGCAGGCCTAACTTGCCAAAACAGCCCTAGCGCGGCAAAGCTAACCACCGCTAGCTAGGCCAGCCTTGTCCCGCTTGACCTCTCTTTACTTTTCTTCCTCGAACAACTTCAGCCATTAACCTCGTCACACTCCACGCCATTATCGAGTCTTCCAGGAACACATCTTTGAAGACAATCGCAAAAGCATCAAGGCAAGATGGAGGACTACATGCATATAACCGCCGCCGAGCTGAGCGAGCTTTTGCTCACCGCAGGTGAGGTCACCTGCGGCGTGAAACCAGGCGACATGACCAACGAAGTCAGAGCAAAGCGGGACGCCCACCATCAGTATGCCACCTTCTTGTCCGCCTCCGAAGAAGCGTGCGCTCCGTTCACCATTGCCGGGTACAAGTTGGACGACCTCCCAGTCAAAAATTCCGCTGAGGGCCAAGATCTCCTCGAGATCATCAATTTGAACACCGCAATCGCGCGTAGAAGCCATGAAGACAACAAATCCACCACTATCGAGACAATTCCCAGCGACGGCAAGATTGGACAGGACTTCCAATTTATGTACCAGTTCAACGACAGGAGCAACAACGCACGATTCTCCTCCTCACTAGCGATGCGCATCTTCGACGTTGGGAAAGCGCAAGAGTTCCTCTCCCTTCCCGCCGCTAATACATATCTTTCTCAGCCGGCTCTTCCAGTACGACTACTGCTCGAATTCCCATGCGCTTCAGACGAGGGCGACATGATCAGATTCCTCGTCCACATGCGTCCGGCCACAATCGGCGAGATCGTCTCGGCTGCCCTGCAAATGATTACTTTCTCCAACATCAACGGAATCGAGAACTAGCGGGTAGTCTGCTTAAGGGCACGGGAGGTCAAGGAGATAATGGGATATGGTAGCGAGACCGCAATTGATCTATTTCTCTCGCGTGTGCTGTTTTGCATCCGTCCGTTTAGAGACATTCAGGAGCGCATTGCCGTGGGACAGATTAACCTGTGGGCACCTTAATGGCAGAAGATCCTATCGCAAGGGCTTATGTTCAGCACGATGAGATAGCTGCCATTGGCAGAGATAGATGGAACGGAATGGAGACGAACTGCTGAAGATCCCATTATATTACGCGTCGCTTTCTAAAGTCGCCGGCAGTCATACCTTATCAAGCTGTACCCTTAACATCACGCATATCTCATGGCCTAGCATTCTTTGTCCCGCTGCTCCAAGGCGCCGGTTCTTGCTACTTCCAATCCATGACTTCCGCCAACGTATTCCGGACGCCAACCCCCGCGTCGCTTCGAGTGTTCTCGCTGTAGTATCTATTCCGGTCCAAAGTCTCCTCCCATTCCATCTTCTCCAGATTCTCTTCTTCCTCATCTTCCTCATCTTCCACAAAGCCACAAAACTTCTCCCACAGCGAGTCACCGCTCGTCTTGTCTTCTTCTTTTATCTTCTTCCATTCGTCCTTGGGGAGCGGCACCATTGATCCTACACCACAAAACTCCTCCATACTCTTGCGAATCTCGAAACCTCCAGACTTGTGGTACGGCTCAACGTCTCTGCGATACGAGGGTTCGAGAGTCCGCATGATCTGCCGGATGGTCTTGCCCGGTGGAATGAGCATCGCTCCACAAGTCTCACTGAAAAGAAGGTCAGTGTCGAGGTCAGCGAGGATGGGAACCGAATTGTCCGTGAGGTAGGTGTTGAGGTAGATCTCCGGCACGATGTCCGCATCATCGACCGCATCGTCGCCAGCGAGTCGGGTGATTTCGAAGTACTGGTACGTCTCGGTCATGCTATGCTCAACGTTGGCTTGGCGCAGAGTGAAGCGATACGCAACATAAGAGCGCTCGTAAGTCTTGAAGGTACGGCTAATCTCGCCAGTTTCGGGATCTTTCTTGAGCAGAGCGGTGTTTGGCTGGAACTTGAACTTCTGCACGTCGAGCTTGCTGAGGTCGGCGCTGCTTTCCCACGGCTTCTGGACCAGAAAAGCCTTGTGCTTCCGAACGTCAGAAGACATGACCTTGCGGAGGAGGATACGATCCTTGTGCATGGCGTTGAGGAGCATTTCTGGGTCTTCTAGTAAGTTCACAGGGACGATCGTGTCGGGAGGAGACGGAGCAGCCTGCTGGCCCGCAGAGGGTGCATTTCGACGAACAGTTTGCGTGGAACCAGATGTTTGGGGGTGGCTTGATGACGGTGGTGTCGCTCGCCGATTCATGGCGTCGGCCGGAGGCCGAGTGTTGTCTCTCGCACAACCAGGAAGTGCGAGGTGCATGTTGGTCTTGGTGTGCGCTATCGTTGTCTTGTACTTGCTCTTTTCAGTCGTGGTATTTGGGTATTGGCTACTTTTGGTCGGTGTGAGGCTTTGGTAGCGGAGATAGTTCGAGGCTTCGTATCGAAAGCTGTGTGGGAAGATTCTGGTTCTGGCTGGCAGTTGGGAATAGCCTTGCCTTTAAGTAATGAAACTCTGAGGTGCGGCGCGATAGATTACAATACATTGTCGCCCAGTGACTGTGAAACTTGTGACGCTTTGTCCTTTCACTCATGAAAGGGTTGAATGGATTCGTGAATGCATTGTCACTAGTTCCATGTCACTGGCTATGACAAGACCTTGTTCCGCGAATGCTGCAGAGAAAGAATGCAACGGATCAACGTCTTTGCAGCGTGAAGATACTGTTTGACGTAGCGCTCTCGTATGGTCGATTCTGAACATGCCTTCTTCGTATCGCATTTCTTTGAGCGTGTTCAGGCTCAAAGGGGAATTCAATGGCCATTGTACGTCCCGGGCTTGACATTACCGACAATGGCATTGTTCTTCACAAAGCTTTTGTCTTTCACAAACGCTCCTTCGCGAATGTTGGCCGCGTTATGTAGGCACTTCGCATTCATCCACCCGAAACTATATCCCGGTAGCTAGTTTCCAAAAGAACTCAAGAAGAACGATTCGCGATCCGCTCAATCTACATGCAAACAACATACGGTTCGCTGCACACAGCGAAGTAGAGAAGCATCAGCACATCTGCTATCATGTCTATCAAAAGCGACGACAAAAGAGCAGCGCAGCGCGTCCTCGAAGTGAGTGAACTGGAAACCAATACACTCGTTCGACATGTACTTCTCCGATCACTTGAAGCACTTATCATGCGAGTTAGCGATGCTTTAGGAGACTTTACGTGGCTTGATAGCTTCACGGATCTCTGCAAACCTGCAAGTAATACGTTAGGAGACGTACTGTAATTGGTTGATGCTTGGCTCAAAAGCTCCATTGCCAAAGGAGACGTTGCGAATTGCATCTATGAATGGAGAAGGCCGCAGAGATAGATCTTGGAGGGGGTAATAGTCCTACGGTTGCATCTAAAAGGCAATGTACATACGGAGCTCGTGGGCTCCTGTCTCCACCCGCTACCTCGGGCGAGGCAATCACAATCTTTCTATTCCGACTTTGCCCTATGACCCGTATAGGTCATACGGTTCCGTGCCGCTCGTCAGACGCTCGAATCGCGTTGTTATGGACGAGAGATGATTATCGCAGACTCTGCTGGCGCTCTGTGCATGACGTAAGGCCAGTGAAATCAAAAGGATTTGCGACCGCTCGATTTCTGTCTCACTTTATCGCTTCCGCAGCTCCACTGCTTCGCTTCCACTTGTCGTCTCCACCGTCATTTTCACGGTGTCTCCCATCGAGACATCGGGACCTTCTAGATCTAACCACCACAGGTGTTCCTCCTGCGCATCTGGCGCCTTCGGCGGCGATACTGACTGATGCTAGCTGTATTTTCCTCCATCCCGAAGTGTTTCCCATGTCCTCCAACCACGAACAATTTCGCAGTCCAAGCACTATTTCCATTCGCCCAGCTCCGCTCGCAGTCGCTTCAAGATCGACCGCGATTCCCGTTCACGCCACTCCCAAAGAGCTCCGTCCGACCACTCTTTCACCTTCCACAATATCGCCTCCGCCGAGCCGTACGATCTTAGCGACCAGGAGAACGGTCTCATCACAACAGTGCTCGGCATACCACTCAAGAATACGCTCTGCGACAACTCAGAGTGGACCGCGAAATACCGGTGCGCTTGAAAGACTCCAACATTGCCAGTCACCTCCTCGTTGATTTCTCTTCAGACACGCTTGAGATGGCCCGCAAACCTGTCATCGGAGACGTGGCGCTTATTCCCGTGGATGACGAAGGAACGACGCTCGAACTTCAGCAGCATGTACGCGCAATGGTCACATACCTACACACGCAAGTCGTCCACCTTCTCGACGCCATCAACACATCTGAGGACGCCATTGTCTCATTTCTGCGTGGCTTGACCGCCAAAATTCGGATTTCACATGCTTTCCACGTCTGGTTCGTGGATGACTTCCCCGGGCACGACACTCTCGACGACCTGAGCAACGAAGGGAAGCAGCAAAAGTTGGGCGATGACTGTCGGGCTTCAGAGATAGAGAAGAAGAAGTGGATGGAGTGCGCTCGATGCGGAGAAGAAGTCGATGGAGTGCGCTCAACGCGGAGAGGTAGTATGGCGGGAATTTGTCAGATCACCGATCGGAAGGCTGGACACCAGACGTTGTGCAAGACCTGAGACAAAAAGTTTTCGACGACTTAGAAGATTGGGTAATTTCGGAGGCCTTCCTCGACTTTACGGTATGATTCCAGTTCAACGAGGCCTCCTTCGCAGTCACGATCCAGGACTTCTTTCGCGGGACCAATAACAGAGCGAAAGCAGCGATATGTGCAAATCCGAGAATCTGTCTCGGCAAAGGCCCGCGCAAGTCTGTTCCGTCGTGGAAGCTGGAGCGTCAGTGAATATCTTACTGTGGATATCCAATGCGGAAAGTTGATACGGCCTGTCGAGATCTCACAAGGCATCCTCACCCCTATCTCAGTCTTCGATCATTCTGCCGGAGCACGGGATGAGCTAAACTTCGGACTACCTGCTCTGCGTGCTAAGGGGAGTCGGGTTTCGTCAGATCCGCGAATCGCTCAAGCTCCTGGTTAGTTCCTACAAATGATCGCCCGCCTACCATCTCATGCTACTTTCTTGCGGCATGGAAGCTCTCAGCGGAAGCAAGGACCAAGCTGTTTCATGAATGATCTTTCTGTGTCCTTATAGATGTTCCAAATTGTTCCGCATGTTCTAGTAAGATCCCTGTGATCCGGCCGCAATCATCACCGATACAGATAAGGAGGTCCATCATAAGCTAATGTAGCTGATAGTCGGCATACACAGATCACGTATTGATGTCGAAGGCCCGGAACTTCTTCCACACGGGTTCTCCATGAAGCGCCTTTGATCAGCAAGGCTTTCAACGCCATTGAAATTTGAAAAGAGGACTCGCTTCAATCACGCAAGGCTACAATTTGATACGATGTGATCATGAGTGAAAGATTTGAAAAAAAACGAGAAGAGCGAAAATTTCCTCTCATTGTCGCCAAACAGCGTCCTCCAGAGGTGTCCAAAAAGCACGCTCATGGATGATAATGTGTCTTCGCCAAAAGCCGTATCTTTCTTCAGCCACTCGACAGGCTCCTGGCCCAACGATTGCCACGTGAAGATTGGAGAAAAAATGCAAGTCTCGCCCTCATCCACCATCTCAACCTTCTTGCCCTTAACCAGTACACTCGCCATCCCCTCCAAATCCCATCTGTCCGTTGCGGCTTCCGAGAACCCTGCCACCAACCATCTTCTCCGCCAGCTTCCTTGCCTCGGTTTCCTCCTCAGCGTCGTGGAGCTGATCGTGTTCCTTTGGTCCGTTTGCTTCCCAGTCCCAGCCAAGTTCCTTCCAGACCAGCTTGCGCGCTTTCTTCGTCTCTCTCTTTCGCTTCAGTTTGAAGCTCTGGTCTCCTTCCAGGATGTCTTCTGGAGATGTGTCTGCATTGACGCCAATGAATTTGCCGTACCAGTAGTAGTGGCGGCGTCCATATTGGCGGACCCGATCGGCGCGGGTTGGAACTTTACGGCGACTGATTTTCTTGTTGTATCTCGATACGAGAGGTGCTAACGGAGGCATTGTGCTGTTACTAGATGCCATAGCTGTTGTCAATGTCGTCAAGATGTTTTCGGAGAATAGCTTTTGAGCCGAATTGAAGGAGGCGCGTGAAGAAGTCACATGCGTTGGATTTGCATGTGAAAATATGGAGTGAAGGCTAGACCGTGGTGGAAGTGATACGAATATTCTCGAGAATCACCGCCGCAGAATGATATCCGTACTGCTATTCGATGGCTCAGATGAGATCTGGGAGCTGGAGATGGAATGTGCGATTGACACAAGGTGATACTCTGTATCCACGACTTCCATGTTAGGACCTATCCGCGCGTGTGACAGGTGCTATAGCACCACCTCGCAAGGTGATAGTCACAGCGGTAGAGAGAATCCCACTTTGCCTTCATGTATCCATCTCTCCCTTTGTTGCGTTTCCTATGCCCCGGTTCAATGGCATGTACCACACACATACGCCGGAGGCTCTGTCATTTTGGACATCGAGGACTAGTCTGGATGTCAATCTTGTCTCCATGGCTTCTTGTCAGTACACAGTTGCCGTGCAGTGGGTTTTGTACTTTTGACCCGCGCATACAGCAAATTGTCGACCCTGTCCACGATGTCCATACGGCCTCAAGACGAAAGTCTCTGATCTCAAAGGCTTCCAACTGATATCATTCACGCAGCGCTCAGTCTTGCTTGCTCTCGCAATGGGAATAGTACCAGTGCTCTTTTATGGCTCCCGGGAGAGGGCATGTACAACTTCACTAGCGTGGCGCTAAGAGAAACTCAAATTCCTGTAGATGAATGGGTCTTTCTAGGCATCTTTACGGGGAGCCATAGGATTTTGAAGGATTTTCCTCGCCCTTCCCGACCTACTTCTAGACTCTTTGATCTCAACTTCTCACTCTTGCTTCTTTGTGGCTGTCTATTTGCAGCGTCCTGTCAAGACTGGACCCAGTATGCAGCACACGTCCATCTGAACTCCAACGGACCATGGCATTGTTAGCGAGAGGAGAGAAGGATTCTCAAATGTAGCCGCATGTACCCGTAGGATATCCAAATTACCAGTACGCATCACGAGGAATCCTCAACGAACATCCCCTAGCTCCAATGTGGTGCATCACAGCTCCTCCAGAAGCACCAGTATCATCCTGTCTAACAGACTTGAAGGAGCTTTGAGAAGATCTTCAAAGATTTGGAACCATGGTCGATCCAGAAAACCAAGGTACGCATTCGCTTATTGTGTGTACTGCTCAGGATCATCAGTGTGCACGGAATATTAGGACCAAGTATTAGGAGACCCTACAAGAGGGAAAACGTGAGGTAGTCTTGCGCCTGATTTGCCCAGTAATTTGTCTGTCTGGCCTTTGAATAGCAAAGGAAAGACTTTCAAAACTCTCGCAGTGCTCTCGGACAACCGATCTTGCACGGTACCCTGCAAGTCTTTTCCTACCTTACGTATGCTTGCCTCTTCCGGCACTTCCTACATTCGTCTCGCCCGAGCTGATCATCATGCGGCGAAGATGTTCGAATCCATCGCCAGGTCCAAGCTGCTTTTCCTTGATCTCCAGCCGCAGCTTTCTCTCCTTGCGATCGCACCTTGTCACATGAACTCATTATCCCTGGGAGCGCTGCAATATTGGACGAATATAGCCTCCCGTCCTTGATGCGTGCGCCGCGCTTCCTCCTCAGCATCCCTTTTGCTCCCGAACTGAAGGTTAGCCCGCCCAAGCAGGCTCTGCCTAAACCACCAAAGCCCTCTCATCCGCGCCCTCTTCCCTCCGCCGAGCTCTCCATCATTCAATGCAGCGACTGAACTTTGCCTTACGCTCCAGCATGCTGTTCACGACGTCGCCAAGCCACAAAAACAGTGTCAACACCGTGATTAAGGGGTGAGAAACGCCCGAAAGATGTTGCCCGAGCTCTTGCTCTCCTCTGCGACGCGCAGGAGAGCATCAGCGTCGTCGTGGGTAGCGGAAACCGGACCGTAGCGGTGCGTCGAATTGGTGACAGAGACGCGTTGTTCGTTCTGTAAAGTGCTCTGCGTTAGCTCCTGCATTCCACTCACGCTCCTCGAAGTAAACACCTCGGTCATCCAAAACACCGTAGCCAGATGTGTGTAGACGTACAGCTCCTCCGCACGTGACAAGGAGTCTCCTTCTTACGGCACGGTCCGCCTGCTTAGCCGAAAATGGCCAACAGTATTGCCTAGGCTCCTCCAGGCCAGCCTGTCACTCATCTAGCAGAGCACACGGATCGCTCTCTGGGGCCCATCTCAGCTTCAGGGCTCCATGGCGGCACGGCGTCGCCCACAATCCGAATGCCGGCAGCGCTGCCCTTCTATTCCCCCACAGCCGCCATCTAATGCTCACCTCCGCCGCACCCTTGATCAGGACGCCGTGATACTGATCGAACATCAACTCGATTAGTCCAATATTGGCTTGGTCCTCGCGAGAAACACAACACGCCAGTCAGCCTGAGATGGGACCTCTCCACAGCGGACCTTGCGATCTTCGGAGCGCAGTCGATTGCCCATACCCTGAGATCAATTGACAGCATGGAAAGTAAGAGCAGTGGCGGCGGAAGAGAATCACGAATCGGACGGCGACGACGTCAAGAAAGCAAGAGCGCAGCGAAAAGTTCCAGAAATACATCCATCAGAGAGTGTTTTGCACCAGTCACTTGCAGCGCAGAGGACGTAGCTGCTAAATGTGTGAGTGCGCGAATCGAGTGCGGCAGCATTGAAGCAGAGTACCGCTCAGCGACTGAAGTAACAGCCGTGGTCCTGCAATGCCATCGTGGATCGCAGACTCGCATGTTGAGGCACAACGGGCAAGGCCCTCTGCGAGGAGATCGAGCGTCGTGCGGAATACCTTGGTATCATTTGGCGCGAGTTGATTGCTTGTGGCATCTGCTCCAGCGACCTTTGGTAGAGCGAGATAGCCGCAACGCGCGGCTGCGCCCCGCCGAACACAAAAGGAGGCATGGATACCGACCGCCGGGTGGTGGGAGACCAGTCGCTGTGCACAGATAAAGAGAGATCGAAAGCAAGAAAGAGCATATTGGTAAACATGACAAAGAGCGCATCGCTGAGCGGACACGTCTGGAACGGCCAATACTTTGCCAGTGCATCCGCGTCGACGTGGACAGAAGGAGCCGGACGCCTGGAGCCGAGCGACATCATGACACAGCAACAGATCTAGGATCGTTGATAGTATTCTTTGACCCTCCCTTGCGCATCTCCTATCATGATTGGCGAAGCAAGACTCGATCTACCTCCTGGAAGGCCTGCAGTGCTGTGAGTCGGCCCGATCTCCTCCGCTGTACCTCGACACAGTCGGCAAGCCGCTAGTCGAACGCGAGAACAGGTATGGGGCGGTGTTGCGGTGAGATTCAAGGTAGCTGAGTGTTGCCGCGTCCTCTAAACATAGATTATTGTTGTTGAGCAAGAGGTGAAGTCGTGTTCGCCGACAGGGAAGCCGCTGCCGCTAGCCTGTGCCCGGGCTAGCCTTGAACTCTCGTTCGACATCGCACTGCCGTTCTCCCACTGGTATTCACGATACGCACATTATATATCAATTGGAACAACGACCGGAGCAGCATCAAGAGCAGATCATATTACATGTCTTATTTTTGCTGGTTCCGCAGCTCGTCGTTTGATGGAAATCTCGTCGACCGCAGCCAGCATGGAGGCCAAAATTTTCGGTTCGCATTCACCGCAGCGGTAGACTCTCTTTCCACCTTATCACTTGGTACGAATGGAGACCGGGGATGCCGTCGGTCAAGCGCTGTAGTGCGGCAGTCTTGACGCGGCTTGCCAGTGGCGAATGCGGACCGCGCTGGCGCCCTTGGCTACCACAGAAAGGGTAACAGACAAAGCTGGGTCGGTCTTTTCCTCTCTCGTGAGCTACCCACAACGGCTGTCCCACACTACCACTCTTAGGTGTAGGCGCTCCGGTCCAATGTACGCGACCTTGTGGAAGTCGCTGTCGGTAAGCCTGTCATGGCGGAAGATGTCAACGTTCTCCTCGAAGCCCTTAAGGACCGGGTCTGTGGCGGTCACCTCCTATTCGGTGCGGACAGACAAGATAGAATGTGCGACGTCCTTGTAGCGCGCTTCCTGCTCGCTAGTGAGGTTCATGCCAGAAGGACTCTACTGCCAGAAGCATGGAGAAAGAGGTCCGGTTCCAATCCGCGACTTTGGGATACTCGACGCGGCCTGGACGGAATCGTACGCGTTGAAAGCGACACACCACGACCAGAATCACTGGGACGAGAGACTTGCCCTTGGGACCCTCGGATGCCAACTGAGCGAACAGCATTCAAAAGCTGGGCTCCAAGTGTTTGTGACACGAGGGGCACACCAGGAGGCCAACGACTTCATTGAGTAGCTCGCCGGTAGCTGGTCAGCCTGGCGCAGCTCCATCTGGTTCTAGCAGTGCTGCTGCGCCCTCGTCGTTAGGAAGTTCTCAAGCTCCTCTAAGTATATTTTCCGAGTCACACCGTGTGAATTCGCGCTCCCTTATTCTGTCCTTTTGAAAGTCCGGGATCCGATCCAGAATCGGACAGACTCCCGGTCTCTGAGCCGATGACTAACGAAGATCCCAAACACACCTCCTCACCCTTCGCGTTTGCCCAAGGCTCGCACCCATAACTTACATTGCGGTAAATCTTTGAGATCCTTCTCTTGCTCGCCGCTCGTTGGCGTAGCCTTCGCAAGCGCTTCTGCGTGCCCGCTCTCCTCTAAACAATGTGCTATCACTGTGGCGAAATCCACCTGTACTTTACTCAATTCGAGATCCAAGGTCGCGGTCTTCTTCTTGGCGTTCAAAGCAGCCTGCTATACCATGATCTGCTAATTTGGCAGTTTCATCCCTTCGCACCGGTTGTTCGTCCACTCGCAATGAGTCGAGCGCGAGATCGCTTTGAGACAGGCTACGGCAGGCTTAGAGGACGACGAGTGGTATTTCAGTCTCTCCCAGCACAGCTGAGTGCCATTTTCCTCCCCGGTGTAGGTAGGAGGATGCCATGGACACGGTCGTGGTATCAAGGTGAAAATTATTACGAACGGCATTTCTCTCGACCAAGTCTGGCTGGGTCTCTGTGTCGCGAATGGAAAAGACAAGAGAGAAGAAAGTTTTCCAGTCTTTCCACTCGCTCCGATGCTTTCGCCTCGTCGCATCGTGCGCTTGTTGGAGTTTCCCCGATAAGAGCCTAGATGGATGTCTTGGTGGACTTCAGCTCGGGAATCGAGCCAGCGCAAGTAGGAATTGGGTGGGGGAGTTGGCTTGAGTGCACAGTGTTCTGTAATGAACGTGACTTCGTCGATGATGGGGCTCCTGGAGGTCTTCAGATGTGCTGCATCGGGCAGACGCAGCGTCCACCTACTTTGGAATGTCGTCTCAACGCCTGCGCTCGATGATTTTGCGCCACTCGACTACCCGTGGCTCTGATTTGGACTCGCATACTCGGAGATACCGGAACATTTTCTTTTGGATAACGCACCGTAGCACCATCTACGAATTGAGCACATGCTCTTCGATCCCACCTCACGCCTCAGCATCAACTTCAATCTCAACGAAAGCTCCCTCCTTGGCCAACCCCGAGATCTGCATAGCCGTGCTCACAGGTCCCGGTTTCGGTACGTATCGATTCCACACATCCATAACCGTCTTCAAGTCTTTTTTGATGTCGAGGAAGTACAATCTTCGTCTGACGATTTTATCCATCGAGGAGTCCGCTGCGAGGAGGCAAGTGCGGATATTACGCATCGCTTGATCCTGGAGCGTGAGAGTGTCAGGACGCGGCGGAGGGAGGGATGTTGAGAAGAAGACGAACTGCCTGCGCTTCAACTCCCCCTTCCACTATTTTGCCTGTTTCGGGATCATCGCCCATCCAGCCTGCGATGTGGATTGTTTCGCCACTTGATCGAACGACGAGGCTGTAGGCGTTGTGATTTGGCAAGGGGGCGCCAGGAATTGTTTCGAGTGTCTTTGACGGGTCAGGCATCTTGAGAAGGATGATGATGTTGATGCTCGCGGTTGTCTCCCGCACTCAGAAGATATTCAGTGATGAGACCAGGCGGAGGAGGAGACCGGGCTCGGAAAAACGTCTCCCCGGGGGATCCACCCCCACGAAGTCTACCCCGCCTCCATGTGATCGATTAGCTCGGCGCCTATCTCCATCTCGATACCATCTCCATCCTCATCCCGCCTTTCATATATTCGCATACCTCATCCACCCATATACCCAGCCTGACACATATCTACCAAACCGCAAAAATGCCGCCTCTCCGCCCTCTGCTCCAACAGACCCGGCACTTCTCCACCTCTCCCCGCCCCCAAGCTTCCCTCCTCTTTGCCCTCGGAGCCTTATCAAACAGCCGAGAAACACAACACTTTAACAAGATCTCCCGCCTCGACCGAACGGAACACTCGCCATCCCTCAAGCTCATCAAAACAAGCGAAGTGGATCCGTTCAAGAAGTCGAGACAACCTCGCAATGCCTCGAGCCTGGCTGGGTTCAGTCCGGAGATGGAGAGGACGGTGGAGTTGGAAGAGAGAGTAGAAGAGCTGCAGGGGTATATGAAGGCCACACAGAAGAGCATTACCGAGTTGAAGAACGCTTTGGGATGGATGCTGCTGGGCTTTGGCGTTGCGTCAGGATTAGCTGTAGGCATGTTTTGGTCGAACGGGGGTGCTGAGCCTGTGAGGGATTCTGGGGAGCTGGGCAGGAAGATTGCGGCGAGGGCGAAGGCTGCTATCCCTTTGCCCTCTATCAGCGAGAGCACGAGGCCGAATGTTCGAGATGTGGTCACGGCTGAGCAGGCCCCTGTACGATTGGATCCTGTGATGCCTGCCGCAACGACAGCAACGGCATCGAAAGAAGAGACGTTCGTTCCAGCAACACCGATTTCAAAGCTGGGCATTCCAACAGAAGAATCCAAGACTTCACCATGTACACAATATCAGCCGCAACAGCGCCCGCCAACAAGTCTGTGGAGGAATCTCTTCTGGAGAGAGCAATGAGCGCAATCAACACCACAGCATGATCATGAGGAGTACGGCATTACGACAGCATAGATTCTTTCCAGCAGCGCATAGACTCTGGAGCAATATATCTCTTACGCATTCGTCTTCCGATCTTTTCTCCTTTGCATTGTAACTAGCATGGACCCATCAACAAGCGACTCTCGTTCCCGGACATTTGCCGCAACTATCCTGATCAAAACGATGCCTTTGTCGGAGGCACTTGTCTCGATGTATGCCAGTGCGGTTCTAAACCAAATACCACCCTTGCCGTAGCCTCCGCAAGCCCAGGAAGTCGTTTAACGCTGGCATCTTCTCCGGCTCTCTGAAACGCCTCAATCACCTCTTCAATTCTTTCAGTCCTCTCCCTCGCCAACTCCCCTTTACTTGGCTCATTCAGCTGACGCAGAGATGAACCTGCTGCTGCTTCTTTTCGAGCACGGAACCTACGTATAAATCCCAGAGCCGCATCCGTTGGTACCTCGGAAACATTTCCAGGAACACGGTCGATTAGTTGATCCTCTGGAATCTCGTCAAGACTTGGCAGACCAGAAGACACGCCACCATCTTGGTCAGTAAGGACGAGGAGTACGGACCTTCTTTTCGCCATACGGATTCTTCCGACCATGAAGACGACTCAACATGTCGGATTGCCGGTGTCGGATTCTGTTCTCTGCCGCCACCCCATCGCTGACGCTTTTCGTATCTGAATTGTTTTTCAACTGGTGTCTGCTCCCGACAGAAAGCCTCGACCTCGTTACAGAGCCTGAGATATCGCGCGCTGTGGAAATCAAGGCTGTGAAGACCACTGTCTGAAGCGCGATCATGGAGACCTAGATCTATCCATTGATCGAATCCATCAACTTCCGGAATCTCCATCACGACATAAGGTCGTCGACCGTCCAGCGTTTCCTCTTCCGTCACAAGCTGTCGCCAGGTTTTGTAAGATTGCCTTGTCCAGTCACCAACCCTCGCAGGAAAACTTGCTACCGGTGCCTTGTCACGGGCTGATGGTGTGAAGACAGCAATCCGCATTCGTCAAAAAACGTCCAGCACGAGACTGGGAATGTGAGGTCGTGCGAAATCGGAGTAGTGAGCGCTTTCCACGCGAGCTTGCAATGCCATGAGAAGTTCTTGTTGCATACTTCCACGGACAATTGTACCATGCACGGCATTCCAGTCGCTTGGTACTTGTGAAAAAGTCAAAGTCGTGGATTCGCGTGAGCGACCTATCTCCTGGATCGCGATGGGGAAAATTCGCTTTTGATGAAGCTGGCTTTGTCACGCAAGAACGATGAGGGTGTGGAACTCGTAGAGGCGCTAGCTCATGTCTACTTGAATTCGTCCTCGAGCTGGGACTTTGGTTTGGATGCCGACGTTCCAGATTTGAACAAAGATACGAGGAGCTACGAGTCGCTTATCGCCCGCGGATTTCAGACATATTCACGTTTCAGCTCGATCATCTCCATAGAAGAAGAAGTATCCAAATCGCCTCCAGTCGACGGATCCAGTACCCTACCTAGGATGAACCCAGAAAGCAGAGAAAATTCTCAAACTGCAAGTCAGGCCTGCAGGTGCTTGGTCATGAGATGACGAGACCTCGAGATTACACTGAAACTTGATTCAGACACTGCTTGTGTTAGCCTCCTCACCCCTAATCTCAAGTGCTTCCGGAGAGCACTACAAGTAGGCGGGAATCTTCTTATCCACGGATCCTTATAACGATAGGCTAGTAAAGCATGCGCTACTTTCTAGGCTATTTGCAAATCAACCGATCTTCCTGCCCCAACACCATTGCGGCAGAATTCTCGGTACCAGCTCGTGGGTATAGAAGTCGAGATATTCTTAGATTATGCTAGGGAGGATGCGTTAGCGTAGAGAGAGTACGAGTCTTACCTAGGCCTGTCCTATAAGAGACAACGAGAAAGGCTCTTATATATCTTTCTCCTTCGAGTTCGAGTTCGAGTTCGAGGACTATCTCAGAGACAAAGTAAGGAAGGAAAAAGATAGAAGAGAAAGAAAGAAAGCATACGAGGACTACAGTCTCCTCTAATTAACTATTTCCCTAGGGGGAGAATCTATTTACAAAGTATTAGATTCTCTTCGTCGGGCGTTTTATCCGCTACTCCGATCTTATTAGTAGGCTCATTAATAGATGGGAGATGGAAATCGTGGAGGAGAGGAAGGAAAGGAAGGGAATGAACGGAAGCTAGATGTAGGTCGGGGTTTAGGTCGAGGTTCGGTTCGGTTCGGCTGGGCGGGGAAATGGAGGCTGAGGGATGCCTCAGGCTTTCATTTTTGAATCTTGAATCCTTCGAAGCAAATTCGCCGCGGGAGGATTCTTGAGGTAAGTGGGTGCAGAGTTTTCGCCGTCAGAGTTATTTATTTACCTCTTGAAACTCATCTCATCAAAACCACACCGACGAGCTCGTCTTCTCTAAAAACAGATATGTACACCTCATAGCATCCTACTACAACATGGTACCCTTATTCTGCTTCTTATCGAGGCGGTAATTGCGCCAGAGCAAGATGGCCGGGAAGCCGAGGACGAGGAGCGCGGTGGAGGAGATGCAGCTGTAATACTGCGTGCGGCCCCAGCCGTAATTGATGGCCTCGCGCACGACGGAGCCCGGCGGGTACGTCTGCTGGACAGTATATCCACCCAGGTACAGCGTGGAGACGAGGTTCTGCTGGGCGGCGGGGAGTTTGGAAGCGACGGCCTTGGACCAGGTGTTGCCGTAGATGGCGGTGGCGACGGACTGGCCGATGGAGCCGCCGACGCTGTTGAAGAGGTAGAGGTAGGAGAGCATGAGGGGGACGCCCTCGCGGTCGGCGGCGGCCATGACGGCCATCTCGTTGGAGATGACGAGGGTGCCGCCGGCAAACGCGATGAAGATCTGGGCCATGACGACGTAGCCGATGGCCTGGTCGCTGCCGCGGAAGTAGATCATGAGGCCGGAGCCGAGGATCATCAGCGGCAGGCCGAAGCAGAGGGCGGAGTATTTGAACTGGCGGATGTAGCGGAGCCAGACGCCGAAGAGGACGGACCAGAAGGTCGAGCCGACGTTGTAGATCTGGGTCATGTAGCCGGCCTTGGTGACGTCGAGGTCGTACACGACCAGGACGAAGTTGTAGTAGTTGAGGTCCCAGTTGTAGAAGGAGTAGTAGAGGACGGCGGCGAGCAGGCAGGCCCCGACGACGGTGCGCTCTCTCAGGAGCTCCCACTTGATGAAGTGGACTTTGGCGAACCACTTCTCCCACGCAGCGAAGACGAAGAACAGGCAGAATCCGATGACGACCATGGCGATGAAGGTGGCGGACCCATATGGAGCGCGGCCGTAGGACTCGAGGGAGAAGGGGAGGAGGAAGAGCACGAAGGCAGCCATGAGAAGGAAGCACCCGACGACTGCGAGGGATGTCAGCATGAGTTTGAAGGGAAGAATATAAGAAGAGCTCACCGCCAAACTCATGGAAGTAGTGGACGATGGACTGCCAGGTGGAGCGACCGCTGGAAGGACGCTTGTATAGGCCCTCCTTCTCCGCCTTGATCTGGTAGAATTTGAAGGCGACGACCAGAAGCATAAAGGCAAAGAGATTCACGATACAGAACAGACCAAGACCCCATCGCCATCCCGAGCCCGTGGGGCCAAGAATGGAGTTGGCAGCCAGTGACCCGGTAAAAGCGGTGATGATGAACGGGGTGGAAGAGAAGGCAAATGCCAGGGCTCTGTTGCGCAGACCAAAGGTATCGGCGATGAAGATGTCGAGGATGAGATAGATGGCGTCGTATCCGATCCAGTAGAGTGTGTAACCGGCGGCGTACGTGCTCGGGCCGCTGCTCGCGGCCAGCAGGATGAGACCGAGGACGTAGATGCCGACGAAGACGGCGAAGCCCTCGGCACGGCCCCAGATGTTGATGAGCTTGGCGATGGGCACCTTGAGGATGCCGCCGATGATGGTGGAGAGGATGAGGGCGGTGGAGATGGCGGGCGAGGTCTTGAAGTCGGCGTAGGCGTAGACGGTGAGATAGGACTGCATGGCGGACTGGAAGGCGAGCAAGAAGTAGCAGACCCAGATCCTGCAGACAATACAAGGTGAGTGGGTGGGTGGATGACATTGATACGGTATTGAGGGATCTCAACTCACCACGCGTAGATGCTCCAGATGGCCTTCTTGCTCCAGACGAGAGCAGCCGCTTCGGCCTTCTGGATACCCTCCTGGGCGTGGGAGGTGACATTGTTGGGATCACGGCGGAGTTCCTGCTCGTTCTTCTCGTAGAGGTTCAGGTCATTGCTGCTGTGGCCACTGTCGGAGTGCGCGTCGTGGGAGATGTCCGCTTCCTTGAAGTCCTCGTTGGAGAGGGGATCGGGTCCCGTGGCGATGGTATGGTTCTTGCGACTCCGCAAGCCGTTGAAAGAAGGCATGGCGGGTGAGCTCTAGCTTGGGCGGGCCTCGGGCTAGGCACTGGCCACTGGCCTTGGGGTGAAGTACGGCAAGCAGCGCTCCGACGAGTTGTTGTAGAGTGGTGCAGGAGGCGTCAGTGAGGTGAAGTGAGGATGGTGATAATGAGAATGGTAGTGGTAGTAGTAGTAGTAGAGGAGCGGGTAGATCCCAGCGAAGGAGATGTAGATAAGATATGACGGGAGGAAGGGCGGGAGGTGATGAGAGAAATGAAATGTCTTTCCCTGCGGCTGCCGTAATCGCAAGCTCGGGGCAGGAGCTGCAGCAAGACTAGCAGCAGAGGAAGGCGCCACCGGTAGCAGTAGCACCAACGCGCCTGTCTACAGCCTACAGGTACGCTGGGCGGGTGCCCGGGCAATTTGGTTATGCGAGAAGAAGTAACATGCCACGCTGATGATGGTCCTGGTGATGATGATGCCGCATGGCGATGGATGTCGAGCTCGAGCGGAGGAATCGCCAAGAAGGGCGGTCGCCGCGTGTGTTTCTCGCGCCGATGGGGGTGAGGTGGGAGTGGTCGCGAACAATTCCCTCCACTCTCCACCCACCTCGCGAAAGTCGAAAGACCTCCGATCCTCCTCCCTTCCAATCGCTGATCAGATAAGATTAAAATTTGTCCCCTGCCGCTCTTAGCGCCCCGCCTCCCGTGCGGTCTCGGTCTGCTCGGATCAGATTACTCGGCAGTCATTTGGGAATGAGATGATCGAACCTGGCAGCGACAACGGATGGCGCTTGAAGAGTCGACCCAAGGCTAAGCCCTTCCAAGTATCCTCACCGTAGACTCCCTGCACTGTGTGCAGTCTCTTTCTTGAGTGTGAGTTTGTCGAGATAGATGGCTCGAATGCACGTGACATGACAGTCCGGTATCGGCCGGGTCTGTCGGCAATGCTGGAACATCACACGTCGCTTTCGCGTCCTCCACAGCGAATTGCTTCTGCTATCCCGTTCCATCCTCTCTACCCACGTTCATCAATCATCATCATCACCACCATCATCCAGACCGATATTCGCCATGTCGCCCAAAGCAGAAGGAAGGCTTCTCATCCCGCGCAATTCGCCACGTGTGCGTGAGCGGGCTTGAACTGTGCCCGGATGAGGTCTGCCGGCGGTACGTACCCAGCCATTCGGTCGCGCCGCCACTGGTCCCATACCATCCCACATCTGCCGCACTGCACTATCCACCGCATGGCCATTCCTTTGCCTCGAGAACTCCGAGCCAGACAGACGCACATGCATCCGACAAAATCGTTCGACACATAAAGGGTCTCGATTCAATGTGCCCCGAAAACTACGCGATGCTATTTCGCTGGCGGCTGTCGGTCGCCTAGTCTATGCCACTTCGCACCTCCTGTGGAGAACTTCTGTACGCACAATCACCAGCTCTGCGCATGCACGCCTGAACACCTTTGCATATCCTCGGCTGCTGACAGCATCTTCGACCTTCCCGCTACTGGGACCTTCGTGTAGCGCGGCATGCCGGCGTGGCCCTTGTGGACCTCCTTCGCTCGCCATCTTGCGCGTTTCTCCCACGCCAGCAGTTCTTTCAAAGTTGTCGACGGATTGCTTCACCAGCCACCATTCAATAATACTTTCCCTCCACCTCGCGTGGCGTCCACGTTGGCGGCGCTTGGTAAAGACGCCAACTTGGACAGAACCCGGTTGTTTTCCATATGCGCCTCGTGGCCGACACCCGTGAATTGGAAAGCGACCTGTCCCTGGCGCCGTGCCTGCTGCTGGCATCAACTCCCCACCACGAGAGTGATCTGGCCAAAATGCGTACCTGCTCCCAACCAAGATCTCTACCTCTGCTCTACGAAGCTCGTCCGCCTTCGGAACGCTGAGCTCATGAAGCCGTGTCGTAACAGGTTGTCGGGCTGATGCACGCAAGCGTGAACTCTGGTGCAGCTGGCTTACGTGGTCGCATGTGCCCCTTGATACTTTTTGGACGCGAGCATGAACTGATCGGTAAGTAAGCCAACCGCACGTAACTGGCACTCGTGTTACTACAGTTCCTTGCCATAGCGAGAGCTCCAGTTCCCGGGTCGCCCAGGATGCTGCGGTATCAGATCACACTCCTCTGGCTGCTATACCCAGTGTATCTTCATGGTGTATACGTCCCCCTCTTACGTTGTCTGTTGGAGGACACGGCAATGAGGCGAACACAAAAGCTGCGCAGATCTTCGCACCCGAGCATTTCAATTGGTGAGGGACTATAAATCTTTACGGAGTCAACACGAAGAAGGTAAGTATATACTTTGTCAATTATCGAATCTCCAACTCTCCGTCGACCCATTCTTTCGGTCTCTCTCTTCTTCTATCCGTTTCCTTGAATCCCTACTCCACTACCACCACGCAAATCCATTCTCCTCTTCCTTACGGCGAATCCTACCTTACTCAGCAGCGCCCGCCGCTGCCTTCGCCGTCCCTCTTTCCCCGTGGCCGTCGAGACCTCTTTCAATGCTGTGGCCAACAGCACTGCCGAAAATCCGAAACCGAAACCCTGCCCGAAAAATTTAAGCTGGACGTCACGGGAAGGAAACGAAATCAGTCTTGCTAAGGTATTGCTGTGAAGGAAGGGAAGGCTCCAACTGTGAGGCATGGTGGTGCTGCGGCGGAGCTGACTAGTAGGAGTGCGGAGGCGAAGGAGGCGAAAGTTACTACTTTGCGAGTAGGAATCATGCTGCACGAACATGACATTTGACAGGTCGTTGTACTTGCTTATTTTACTGTTCGGAATGGGGGTGTAGAGTGATGGATGGTGGATGATGGATGATGGAAAGGTTACTGCCACTGCTACAGTAATATTCCATCGCTTCCAATCCAAACTTGTATGCTGCATATTTGAAAAGAAGCGTTTTTCCCTTCAAAGCGACCGGTTAAGTTCGGCTATCTGTGGGATCTACGGATATCCGGACCCGGACCCTGCGCTTTGCCATCTCCCCATCAACGCCACCATCACGACAGAACATGATCGTCCACAACCGACATCATCGACTCCTTCACATCCAACAAACATGGCGTCTCCAGCCTCCGCTCCCTGGCCACCCCCAAACGGCCTCTGCACACCCACCGTCTCCCGAAAAGAGGCCGTCTTCCAGACCCCTGCCTCCATCCGAATCCACGCGCCTGCTTCCCGGGTATTCGAAATCCTACTCGATACCCCCAAATACCCAGAGTGGAACTCTTTCGTCCCGAAAGTCGAAATCCTCCAACAACCCGGTACTGCGGACGGCGATGATGGACTTCTAAAAACGGGCACGATCATGACCTTCCAAGTCGTAATGAACGACAAGAAACCCCAAAACTTCACCCCAACGGGCCTACAAGTGACGGACATCTCCACCCCCTCATCTCCATCCACCTACCTCTCCGCGGAAACGCTCCAGGAGGACGCTTCCTACACCTCCGACCTCAGCGCGGTGTATAGGATCTCGTGGAAATCGCACGGCGGGTTCGCCGCGCGGGGCTTGAAGACGGAGAGGTTTCATGAGGTTCTCGTGCTGGGTGGTGGGGAGGGGGAGGAGTGTGAGGTGCGGACGTGGGAGGTGTATGGCGGGTTGTTGGCGCATGCTGTCAAGGGGTTGTATCGGAAGACGCTGGAGGAGAAGTTTGCGGTTTGGGTGGGGGATTTGAAGAGGTTTGCTGAGGGGGAGGGGAGGGAGGGATGGAGGGGGGTTTAGCTTGTGGTGCTGGATTGGGAGGACTTTTTGGGTTGTTTTGGGGCACGTATTAAAGGTTGCTCATCTCTACCGCGCTGTGTGGCCGTGTGGTGGCGGTGCTTTTGCTCGCAGAATCCAGGCTTTCCCGATTCGGCTTCCCGGCGCGGCTGGCTCACGATGAGTCGACATGAGACGCCTCAGGCCAGAACTCTGCATAAAAGCACAGCGTGGCACGCTTTGCGAACTGTTCAACAGCACTACATTGTTAACGATACAGATACTGCGATCCATCGCGAACATGCCAGACGGAACGGCGAACAACACCTTATGTAGCACCTGCGCTACGGAATTCCCTTCCAATGCGATGCGGCGAGAACACATGCACAGCGAATGGCATGTTCACAATATGAAGCGGCGGATAACGAATCTGCCGCCAGTGTCCTTGCAAAGCGTTGAAGATTCCATTCGCGAGAAGACTCTGGCAGCGATGAGAACGGAAAGCGGCAACATCAAGCACGACAGGCAGCTCGTCGTCTATCCACTCGCAGCACCCAAGTGCGAGCAGGGAGAAGGCGAGAGAGTCGTACGCTCGCATGCCGAAGTGGAGCATTGTTTATTCTGCGAGCACACCTGCGACACGCTCTCTACCAATCTGCAGCATATGGCGTTGGAACATGGCTTCCGCATCCCCGACCAAGAGACTCTGCAGACCGATCTGGAAACCTTATTGGCATACATCGCGCTCGTGATCGAGGAGTTCAACTCTTGCATCTCTTGCGGCCAGGAGAAGCTATCCGCAGCCGGTGCACGGCGACACATGCTGGACAAAGGGCACTGCATGCTGGATCTCGCGCCTGGATCGGATTTTCTTGATTTCTGGGCGTGCGATGAGGAGCACGCAAGCGATGCAGATGTGGGCAGAAACTTCCAGTCTGATCGAGAGATGCTTTTACCTTCTGGCAGTGTCGCCGTCAGCAGGCTTGATGCTCGACCGAGCGTGAGAATCAAGCACACGATTCGGCATGATCCCGACGAGAAGACCGCTGTTGCGATTCGCTCAGGAGATCGTGATGAGAATGCTACAACTTCAACCAGTCCTCACAATACAACACAAGCCCTGGCTATTCGAGATCAGATGGGAATCGTCGGACTCTCCGACCTGCAACGCCAGACGCTCGCGACCGTGCAGAAGAAGGCTCTCTCCCGAGAACAGCGATGTCGCAATGAAGCCCGATGGGTCTTGGAGAAGTTCAACAATCGCACCAAGCAGAAGCATTTCAAAGTGAGTCGGTCGGGTACACACAGCGTGGTGCAGGTGTGCTGATCGAATGTGTCTGTCGGGTCAGCCGGATGTGCCTGGCAGGACGAATGGGTGAAGAAGTGGGAACAAAGAAGCTTGAGGCGAACTCGAATTTTTTTCATCCTCTTTGACGAGAACGGGCTTCAATAGGATCGGACAAAGCCAAACCACGGCGCAGTCTACATACACTGCTATTGCGATAGTTTTTTTGATGCATTGGCTGAGTTTGCGATTCAACATGCCATCCTACTTGAAAATCCCTCGAGAAGAAGAAGAAGAAGAAGAAGAAGAAGAAGAAGAAGAAGAAGAAGAAGAAGCGGAGAGCAAATTCGCCCAAATGCTCCACGGACCGAACAGCTCGACCGGCCTCCTACCCCACGACACGCACCACATCCCCCAGCGTCGCCACTACGCAAACCACTGCTGGCAATCGACATGGTATACATCCCTCCTCATCCTCCTCGCGGGGATCCTATACCTCCTCGCGCACAACTCCCTCGAATTGAAATCCGCTCTGGATGATGATGATGGCGGGGAATCCGGCTGGGTTCTCCATCATCACACTTTCGGTCCTTCGAATCAGTTCAGCTTGGATCATGAATACGATGTGCTCTTCGATACCAAGGGGAAACAGCTGGGGGTGATTGAATTGCCGCCTTATGGCCCGGATGGGAAGAGTCTCGCCGGTGAAGGCGGTGTGATTGGGATGTAAAGTCCATCCATCCATCCCTCCATTCCATCCCTCCACCCATCCACTAACCCTCCACCCGCAGGTTCCACCAACTGCACTGCCTCTCCATGCTGCGCACAGGCATGCAATCCCTCCTCCTCGCTCACCACGCCCACATCCCCCCCGCGCCGCACCTCCTCTCGGAACGCCAAAAGCGCCACTGGGGCCACTGCTTCGACTACATCCGCATGGGCATCCTCTGCGCCGCGGACCCGACGCTCGAACGGCCGACGTACGCCAACGGCAGCGTCGCCAAGGATGTCGAACGTTATGGCGTTGATGGCGCGAGGGATCTGCGGACTTGTCGCCGGGAGGATGTGCTGTGGGAGATGCATCGGGAGTTTGGGGTTGCGAGGGGGAGGGGAGGGATGGTTGAGAGTTTTTGAGATAGGAGGAGGGGGGGGCAAGGGGGGAGGGTTCTGGTGGTTTTTTTTTTTTTTTTTTTTTTTTTTTTTTGAGATGATGTGGTGGTGAGGCATGTCTGTCGGCGGAGGATTTCGATTTTTTTTCAAGAATTCTTGAAAAAAAAACCATTACTTAATTTCCATCAACTGCGACGTCAACCGGGGGGGGATGAAATGGCCTAGGCCGTATCCCGATGGCGTACTCGACATGCCGAGGAGTCGGGTCGGTAGTCCAGATAATGATAAGATAAGGTAAGTGATGAGAGCCGGGGGGAGCTGGACTGATCGAAAGGAATCGACAAATTTTTCAAAGCATATTATATCATATCAGATCGATTCGTTTCGTTTCATTATTAATTGGAAGGGGGTATTTCGTAACCGTGTAACAATTTCCTTTTTTCCTATGAGAACGCCACACACCTCTCTCTCTCTCTCTCTCTCTCTTTTATAAGGAAAGATTCTTACAAGAAAACGCCGGCCGGGTAGTGCCCGCATAATCCGCCATGATGGCCTCGACAGCCGCATACAGCCCGGGCCCCAACAAGAAGAGACCCACGGCGAGAACGAAGACATGCACCACACTCATCACGCCCCGACCAAGACCGGTGAAGAACCTGCCGCGGTGGAGGTGATAGTAGGCGACGGCGAAGAAGATGAAGCCGAAGAAGGAATCGAAAGCGGCGCCGAGGAGGGAGAGGAAATCGCCCATGGAGGGGATGACTTCGGCGAAGAGGAAGGCTACGGCCCAGATGACGGCCATGACCAGGGCCCAGATGGACCAGCCGAGGAGGGTGTTGGAGTGCGCGTGGCGGGATCGGCCCATGATGCGGTGGTAGACGAATTTGGCCGAGACGTTGGCGTAGATGACGCCGATGACGAGCGTGGGCACGATGACGAAGGCGAAGGAGGCTTTCTTGTAGGCGACGACGCCGAGGGAGCCGAAGGCGGGTGCGGTGGCGTACTGGCCGAGATAGCGGAATCCGATGGCCGGGGGGACGATGAAGAGGAAGGCGGATACTCCCGCCAGGACGGCGAGGGCTTTGGGAAAGTCCTGGGGGCGTTCCATCTCGGCGATGAAGGTGGGGAAGAGGATCTGAGGGACCCACAGGAACGTAATGTTCAAAACAGCATTTAGAGCCGCTACAAAGGTGGTGCCGGCGGGAGGGAAGGCGTATGTCTTGACGGGGCCGAGCTCGGGGTAGTTGCCGTTGTATCCGTAGTAGGGGGCCTCCTCCATCCCGGCAAAGACCATGAAGAGCAGGATGGCGATGCCCATGGCCGCGGCGGAGAACATGGACATGAACGAGACGTGCTTGAGGGTGCGGGGCAGGGACATGACGATGCCCATGAGGGCGGCGATGACGGCGAAGACGACGGTGCAGAGGGAGTGGTCGGAGAGGGTGTTGAGGATCTTGGCGCCGGTGAGGACGTGGAAGCCGATGAGCATGATGTTGTTGGCGAGGAGCATGCAGCCGGTGAACTCGTAGGCGAGGCGGCTCTTGCCGAACGCGTGGTAGCCAAAGTCGCAGATGTCGCGGATCTGGGGGTGCTTCATGATGAAGTGGTGCATGGTGAGGGAGGTGATCCCGAAGAGGATGCCGGCGGCCAGCATGGTGATGATGCCGGGGACCCAGCCGAGGACGGAGAGGGACCAGCTCTGGGCCATGATGGCGAGGCAGACCTGGTCGCCGCAGAGCAGCCAGGCGGCCTTCTGCCACGACATGGTGCGGAGCTTGATGTCGTGGGAGTGGTCTTCGGAGACGAGGGCGGCGATGGCGTCGACGGGCTCATGCTCATGCTCATATTGGGGGATGTGGTCGTCGACGACGGCGTGGGCCGCGACGAGGCCGCCCTTCTTCTCCTCGTCGTGGATGGGAGTGGCCGACATGGTGGGGTCCGTATTAATTATTATTCCGGGGCGTGAATGATGTCCAGGATGGGGCAGCGAGATGTGCATCCCCGTATAAACCGATGGTGGATGGGTGAGATATAAACCGATGGTGGATGGGTGAGATATAAGTCTACCTACACTCTCTTTCTTACTTCTTACCCATCTCGCGGATGGCTTTGGCAGCGCATGGCGTGATGCGCGCCTGGACCACCGCTGGCCATGGCTGGCTGGAACAACGAACGGCCGCCTCCGAGTGATTTCCGCCGCGCTGATTGGGTGAGGTTGTCAGACGACAGCAATGGCACGCGTGGTGTGGCCCGCGTGGAAGCCATGCGATGAGGCGATGCAAGCGTGAATCTTGTCGCGATCAGACGAGAATTGGCGATGAAGCTGGATTGCGGAGTGGTGGATGGTGGATGGTGGATGGTGGATAATGGTTGTTTGTTGAATGGAGGGAGCGAGTCATCAAAGGATTGGCAGAGGGCTTGGCACGCATGACTCGGGAATCTGCCAAGACCCGGTCTCGACTGACACGTGCGGACTCACCTGCAATCTTCCCTTCCTCTTACTAATTCCGTCGCGAACTCGAACTCATGCGCAGTGTTAGGTTGGATGATATGTGTGGTTTCGTCCTCGGCGATGACGGCTTATCGATACCAGCCATGGTCGGTCGGTATCACGGGCAAAATCTTGGACTACTCGCGCTTGCTTGGCAGGTGAAGTCGAGAGAGACCGTCTCGACCAACCGGGATATGCCTGTGAGATACTGCTTTCCAATGTGTTGTGTTGGTCATCCCCATAAGGTAGATTTGTCTACCCTTTCTCCCATCTCCTCGTAGACGAGCGTGTCGTGTCCTTTACATCAGAAATCTTGCGCAGCGGCAGCTCCAGGAGGGACGATTGCCGATGTTTCCTTGTGCGTGCGTACGGTGGTGTGAACGCTGATGGTCGAGAAATGAGATTGCGCCCGGCAAGACTTCGGCTTTCCCTTGGCGCCTGCCCTCTCTCTCCTCCAGCGGAGCGTCTCCCCAGCTCGATTGTGATGGCGTCCACACAATACAATAATCATGCACATCTCGGTCGAGTCTTGCGCGAGCCTCGACTTCCAGCTGACATCCTACCGGGAGAAACATCTTACCCGTCGATGCCGACGACGCCTGAATACCGGTATCGGCTTCCGCGAGGCATCTCATCCCGGATGGAGCGCATTCATTCCCACCAGCAGGAAGAGATGGTAGCGACTGATGAATCGAGTTGATCATCAAGAGACTGCCGCACATCCAGTGTCGCCTGCTATGGCATATCCCACATCGGCATCGGCGGGCCCTGCGATTCGGCCGGAGGAGATGTGGTTCTGCGAATGAACTTCTCCTCCTTCTGGCTGACTCGGACCGGACGGCCAGGATACGACAGCGAAGCCATCGCAGTCAATGATCTGGATGCTATGTCCGACGGCATGTTCGCGTGGTCGATGGTTCGGCATCGACACGACTTCCTCTCCAGTGCGAGACAGCGCTATACGTCCTCCGATTGACCCACAGCGACGGCGGCATGTGCTGGATTGCAAAAGTAGGGCCAGCATGGTCCGACGGGGAATAGGAGGTCTCGGAAGGGTCCGTCTGCAAAAGATGGGCTGGCAAGGCTGGATAATAGGTATGGCCTCCGCGGAGTCATCTCCGTCATTCGAGCCTCACCAAAGAGAAGCGAAGATACAGTATTCGGCATATAAGAGCCGAAACGACATCTCCGTCGCCAAACTTCAGGGATCGAGATGCGTTCGCGCGGCGCGGAACCAAATTGTTCCCTGAGCTACTGAACTTGATCTCCGAACGTCATCTCAAATCCTCCACGCCGCGCCTCTCTCTCTCTGACTCGAATGCGCCCAGAGGCGTGTAAGCGATTTGGAAGGATTCAATACACTTTTCGCTTTGGCTTCCCAAGACGATGGACTGACATCATGTCGAAGTGAATGTGCCATGGCGTCCCGGTGAGTTGAAATACTCGCCACACACTCCCTCTCATTCGCGTCGTTCGCGTCTTTCCTTTCGCCGCCCAGCATTCGACGAGACACACCACCACCACACCACCATGAAGACGACCGCAGCAACACTCGCCTTGACGGGCAGCGCCGCGGCGCAGATGATGGCAGGCTACGTCCCATCCTCCCAATTCCTCGCCTCCAACCCCGGCGGCGCCATCCCCGCAGGCGTCCAGGCGCCTTCGCAGCAGGGCTTCAGCAACGCGACCATCCACCCATCTCGCGGCGGTCTCGCAGTCTGCGTCTCCGGTCTCGTTCCCGTTCAGGCTACGGCCATGAACATGCGCTTCAATCTCTCCCTCCCCACGAACCAGAGCCAGGTTACCGAAATGTTTGTCGAGTCGGTCACGAGCGGAAGCATGGCCATGCAGAAGATCATGGAGGGAACGCAGATGATCAACGGGAGCTACCAGATCGGCGCCACGCTGTGCACGCCTGCGAACAACACCAAGCCTAGTGGTGTGCAAATCCTCACCCACGGAATCGGGTTCGATCGCAGTTACTGGGTACGCTTGATTTCCCAAGACAGTGGCAGGGGATGAGTACTGACAGGATGGCTGTGACAGGACTTTGCCCCAGGCTACAGCTACGTCGACGTCGCCACACAAAACAACTACGCCACTTTCTTCTACGACCGCCTCGGAGTCGGCATGTCCTCGAAGCCAGACGCGATCTCTGTCGTGCAATCCTTCATGGAACTCGAAATCGCCAACGTCCTTGCCAAGAACCTGAAGAACGGAACGTACTCTGGCCTCAGTTTCCAGAAGGTTGTTGGCGCAGGCCATTCCTTCGGTAGTGTCATCACCGAAGGCATTACCGCGAAATACCCCACCACTCTCGGTACGTTGCACTAATCATCACGATTATTCATCACCACGACTACGAAGGAAGATGTATTGCTAACATGCGATATCAGACGGCGCCATCCTGACCGGCTTCTCCACCAACTCCACCGCCATGCCCACCTTCCTCCAAGCCCTCAACCTCGCCATCGCCTCCCAAAACGCCCCCTACCGCTTCTCCTCCCCGGACCTCACCAACGGCTACCTCGTCTCCTCCTCGGCCATCTCCACCCAGATCGGCTTCTTCCGCGCCCCCGGCTTCGACCCCGCCATCCTCAACCTCGCCGAGGCCACCAAGGGCACCGTCACGCTCGGCGAGCTCCTCACCACCACCGCCGTCGTCCTGCCCGCGTCCAACTACACCCGCCCCGTCGCCGTCGTCAACGGCGACAACGACTTGCCCTTCTGCTTCGGCAACTGCTCCTACCCTACCAACCAGGCCCAGGCTGCCCTCACCATGCTGTATCAGAATTCGAACGCGACGGGCACGTACTTGGCCCCGACTACCGGGCATGGCTTGAACTTGCATTACTCTGCTGTCGCGGCGTATCACTACATACAGGACTTTGTCAATGAGAACGTCGGCACGTCGTAGGAGGATAGTGATCATTTGGGGGGGCCGTGAGCTCGATGTTTAATAATTCATAGAATGTACATCATAGATACATCTTTCTTGTTATTATAGAACGGATTTCGGAATTATGAGGGGGGGGATTCATCAATGTGAAGGAAGAAATGCGTCCTTGGTTTTGGAACGATGTTCTTCTCTACCCCATTCCCCCCCTTCCGACTATTCCGAAAATCCGACCCATCGGTCAGTCCACACGGGCTGATTCATCCCGCCTATCTTATCTTCTCTCATCAACATTATTATATTCGTTCGTTCCTCTCGCTGTGTCTGTCTGTCCGTCCGTCTATCTGTCTGTCTATGTGTGTCTGTCTGTCTGTCTATCTGTCTGTCTGGTCTGAGTAAGTAAGTAAGTCGACGAGAAGGGGGGGGGGGAAGAAGACACCTAATTTTTAACTCCCTACGTGGTCGCGGAAGTTTTCACGATTGATAATTATAATCTTTTTTTTTTTCTTTAGAAAACTTAGTAATAGGAAGATCTAATTGTTAATGATACGGTCGTAGTAGTCGTAGTTGTGGGAAGGGTTTTTTTTTTTTTTTTTTTTTTTTTTTTTTTCTGGGCTCTTCTAGTACTAATAGCCCCGTTACGTTACGTTACGTTACGTTGCGGGGAAAAGTTAGTTAGGAGGTTAGTAAGGGGCGTCGTCTTACTAGCGAGCGAGCGAGCGCTTGGTGTATACCATGTACCGGAGTATAGTGCCTAACGATTATTGTCGGATGTTTCTAACGAGCAATCTTTTACGCTCCTCCTATCCTAGGCGTCGTCGGTAGATGTTAATTTAATAGTAGCGTTAAAAAAGTAGAAGTTCGTATAGTAGTATAGTAGTCTCGGATATGTCGTAGGGAGAGAGCTGCCGCTACTTAGTCTATTCTATTAGTTTGGCTAATCGTTTGTTCGATAGTAGATCTAGAGAATCTATTCGAAGTCTATAGACTACGTAAGTAGGATGCTCCTATACGACACGACATTCTTCGGTCTGTACAGTGAGTATTAGCGGAGCAGGCCTAAAGTCCCGCGTATATTACGAGGTTGTGATCTCGCCGCGTTGATACGTGGCCTAGGTTATTTCGAATATGTCCATATTCTAGGACGTTCTTGCGAGTCCTGGCAGATGACACCAAGCTGGGGGGACCTCTTGGAGCGCGAAATCTTCAACCCGTGAGAAAGTCCAAGTGCCACGGTTCGGAACTTGGGACTTCGGTGCATAGACCTCCTCCCTCTTCGTCCTCGGGTTGCTCAACCTCCTCCAGCAAAAGTTGGTATAAAAGATGCTTGACGCGGGTACGGCAATGAAAATTCAGGATCCTTGTCCTCGTTGCCGTGTGGTGTGCGGAGGTCCGTTTCATAATCCATCTAGGTAAGTAAGTAGATCGTTAACTCGCTTAAGCACCTCGATGAAGTGCTGATAACTGCGGTCATCTACAGACGGGGATCCATATTCTTCGTTAAGACTCAGCTGCGTGAACTTTCGCCGACTATTTGCGCAAGCCGAAGCGCTTCGTGCCACGTCGAGGAGGACTTCCGAGGGTACGGTAGGACGTCGCTCTGTTTCTTGAATGCTGCGCACCGTGCTAGCTCCTAGATGTCAAGGATGCGCAGCTTAGTGGTTTCGAAGCGGTTCCCAAGGGTAGGTAGGTAGGGATTTATAGACAATCGTGGCATTAACTAGAACTAGCCGTCGTACGGATCCAGCGAATGATCGATAATGTTGTCTATGCCTTTCTTGTAGCGCGCGTGGCGCTCGGAAGACAGGCGTGACACGCTACATGTTGACGTCTCTCCGTAAGATAGACGAGCCGAGTCGACGCTGGCACGATGCGGTGGGCTTCGGTTGGCCTTGCGTTTCTCGTCGAAAAATCGTGTAAGGCGAAGTTGACGGCGGATTTAATACGAAGCTCCAGTTTGCCGCTTGCTTGGGTTGCCGTATTGTTGGTGAATTTCAGACGCTAGCCTGAATGTGGAAGTTCATGAAGTAGACAGGTCCGGCGGTAGAAGTGAAGTGAAGTAGTGAGGTTAGCATCGAGGTGGGGTACATCGCTTTGCTAGGTAAGGAATCCGATTTTGGAGTAGTTGAGTCGAGTCGATTGCGATTGAGCTTTTGCACGTCGCTATATCTACTACTTCTTCAGCTCGGAGTCGGGGATCAAATAACCGTCGTTCCTGTTCTTTGCAGACAGCAGGTCGGTGGCTCTCGAGCCTAAGACGTTCTGGGCTTCCAAGGGGTAAACGGGGGAGGTGCAGGATACCGGATCGTCCAATTCCAAGAACTACTGGGGAGGGATACGTCGCAAGTGCAGTTGTGCTCGCATGACTGATGATTGTCCTGAAGCTCCAGATCGACCGCAGAGGCCTCAAGAGAGGTGCTAGCATGACGGCATCGCTCAATTTTACTGCCTAAAGAGACCTTTCGGACACAGGTCTCAAAAGCTGGTCGGCTTGATTTGGGAGTCCGTGTTTCATGGATGGGCCTGATTGCTACTTTGTGCTTCTAGAGCTGAAGTCGGAGACGAATAAGTCGAGCGGAGTGGAGCGCTAGCGTGTACGGCCGGATGTGTGTTTCGTGACCCTGCTGTAGCGTTGACTCTGCTGTAGCGGTCAGTCGAGAGGCATGGAAAAGCCATCCACCTACCTGCATGCGAGCACAATGCGTGTTGAAGCAGAGTTGAAGTCGAGAGGGCGTCCCACGCGAAGAAAGCTTGTCCGGCAGATATGTACAGCCTCCATCTATGACCAGCTCATATGTGCACTCCATATCTTGCTCATACACCACACTGTCCGCACCTGTCGCGTGTGTATCGCGATTGCGACCCTCTAAAACCCCCAGTATCCTCTACTCAACACAGCCGCGTATCCAGCCAACCCAGCCATCACAGCCGCCGTCGTCAGAAACCCAACAGGTCTCCCGAACCCCGCAAAGTTCTTCTTCGTGTTCATGATGCCAAAGTCGGCGTGCATCACCCTCGCCACCAACAGCATTCCCAACGCCGTGCTCAGGACCGTCTTGTTCCCGCCATTCAACTCGGCCAGCGCGGCGAAGATGAGGGCGAAGGGCACATTCTCGGCGAAATTGCCCTGGGCGCGGCAGGCTGCCTGGAGCAAGTCGGGCGAGGCAGATGGTGTTGCGAGGGGATCGGTGGATTTGGGGTCCGCGGTGGAAGAGGTGGATTGCTGGCCGATCAATTCATTTGTGATGACGCGCTGTTGGATGACGCGGGCTTGCAGGTAGATGTAGTAGAGGCTGAGGGGGAGGGCGAAGGTGGAGGTCACGGGGAGGTTGAGGCCGACTGCGAAGAGGTAAGTCGGTGGGACGGGAGAGGCTTCTAGAGAGATGACATGAGGTGGTGAGTGAGGGACGTCTTGTCTTGTCTGGGATTGATTGTGGTGTGGGAGTACCGACCGACAGGGATTGTGAGGCGAAGGAGTGTGGAGGGGGGGGAAAGTAGTGCTTATTACCTGCAGACATCTTGACGCGATTCTCTTTTCGGCTTGTCAGCGTGAGGCGTAAAGATATTGATGTGTTGATAAAGATAAGAATAATGATACTGCGTGGACTGTGGCAGAGGAAATAGAGACTGTCAAGTCGGGACCGTGCAGCTCGGCAGCTCGGCCTACCAAGCCGAGCCGAGGGAACGACGCAAAGATCAAGGTCGCCGATCCCTGCAGGAGCAGACCAGGTGGGCGGATCTCCAAACTCGGTAGGCCGAGCTTCCGTCCCTGAAAGCCGGCAATGGCGATGGCTCGGTTCCTTGACGTCAGGCCTGAGCTTCTTCCGAACGAAGTAGATGGAAATCGATACGGCTAACTGAAAGGAACCAGCATCCGATTACATGACGCGACTTCACATGCGTGGTACCGACGGCGAATGCTTCGGCATCAACGCTTCAGGGCGTCAATTGCGGCAGACGAGCCCAATGAAAGGGTGCACAACGGAGACCCTGAGGAACAAGAGCTGCACTACCCAAGGCAGAATGGGGCTCCAGCGGAACCGTCCAGCATAAGTTGGAGGAGGAACGCAGTATCATCATAGCGACGAGCGAATTAATACAGTTTTCTTCCTGTACGCGCACTCTTAGATGGTCTCGAGGTCGTCATAGTCCTCCCAGCATCTGCCTGAAAGCGTGCAGGGCCTTCTCGAGGCATAGTGAACGCACATGAAGACTTGGCAGCCGGGGGATCTTCGGCAGATCACTAGCGTCATTCCCGGCAGCGTCGCGTTTAGAGAACGCCGGCACCCGAAATCACCATCCTCTGCAACTTACAACAGCACTGCGCGATTTTGTTCCGACCTCGCAATGCACACAAGTTTGCGAGATGACGGCAAGACGACCCAAGCTTCGATCCCAGCAAGCGCAGATGATGCTACGGTAATGGAAGCACCTACGGATCATCCATTCCTACGCGCACCATAAGAGATATGCAACGGAGTCTACGAGTGAGTCTCGGATTCTGAGTATCATCAGAGATGCGCCGACCAGACTGGGTCATACTCATTCAACCGCACCATCCTCCTTGTAAGCAAGCGCGTCAAGAAGGAGGCAGAAGAAGTCTTCTATGGCAAGAGCCGCCTCATCACCCTCAAGATCCGGCAGCGCGGGAAAGAATACAAGAGATTTCGCCAAGCACACGACGTGCCCGTTCTCCACTCAAATCCAGCGACGGTGTCACACGCCGCGCGAAGTGGAACGACAATCCTCAATCTGAACACGCACTGCTCGAGCATCAAGATCCAGGCACTCAGTGACGACGGGCGCGGCGCCATCGATCCGCTACATCGAAGCTGTTGGCGGTCAGAGCTTTGAAGTTCACATGTTCACCCATGCGGACTGCCAAGTTCCTAGGCGATGCAATCTCCCTCGAGACGAGGGATGAAGGGCCGCGGCGCTGGTCGGACAGCTTTCGGTCGGGTTCCCCAGGGATCTTGTAGCTGGAGTGTAGCTTCAACATCACACGCTGGCCGAGCCTGAAGCGTATGGGGCGATGAGCAGTATCACCGCGGACCATGTACGCTACTGCCGCGCAGCCCTTCTTTGACGCGTCCAAGTCAAGGTGAAGGTTACGGTCAGGATCATGGTGGTACAGCATGTCGCAGTCCTAGTAGATGACCTTCATGGCTTGGAAGAGTCGCCGCTCCAAAGTCGTGTCCGGCTCGAGGAAAGCGGCGGTGCGCTTAGCATACCTCTCTCTCGCGGCACCCTTGTTGGATGGGGACAGCGCGAGGAGCTGTGTCTTGCGACGCCCAAACAGCTTGTCGAGCTCGAGCCTGACACGCCATCTCGCTCACCCAAGGCTGCAAAGCGCACAGCGGTAGCCGAAATGCAGACCAGCGCAAGCAAGGGAGGAAAGAAGCGTCGGCCTCAGCGCTTGCACACCACGTAAAGCAAGCTTTCCTTCCGAGTTGAGGACCGTGCAGACGCGATCATTCTCGGTGGAGGGAGGTGCGTCACCTGTATGGAAAGGCAGGGGCGTGCTGGCATACCTGAGGCACCGGGTGTGGCTGCTCGAATCGAGGCGCCGTATGCGGCCGACTCACGTTGGTGACACCCTGTATTGCTGTCTGTGCCAACAGTGTGGTGGCTGTAAGGTCAGCGCGCTGCTTGCCCCTAGGCCTCTTGGGCGTGTCCTCCTCTGAGTCTGAACTCGAGCTGTCCTTGTCAGGCTCAGAAGGCGGCCCACCCCATTCACGCTTCTTCTTAGCCACAGACGCGGGTTCCTCTGGAGTCGAGGATGTAGCAGCGGGCGTCGTGTTGACACCGGTGGCTTAGATCGCCTCCATCGATGAAGCCCGGGCGGCAAAACCCGCTGGAACAATCACACACGCCCCGACAGAGTCTGAAGTGCTGTCCACATCGTAGTCCGGAGCGTAGTCTTCCAGATCTTTGCCCCCGAAGGTAGCTTGGCCAATGATCTCGGCTCCCACGGGCTCCTTGAACGGGCGGCATTTGCACCTACACCTCTACAACCGCTTGACGCAAAGTCTCCGGATAATGTGCTTCTTCTCCTGACATCCGACGATGTCCGTATCCTTGCCGGGACGCGTAACTTCCCTGGCGGTGACGATAGGAGTCACTGTTCACTTGCCGTCGACGTAAGTTAGTCTCGCTGTGGTGGAGAGGCTGGGATTGGCACCGGTAGGGATTGTCGGTCATAGAATGATACTAGTGGCCCAGGACTTGGAGGTCTTCCGTACAAGTCTGCAGTGGTACTTCTTCTCTATGCTGTACTTTCTACATCAATGGTCCTCATCCACAATGGGCAATGGCCACGTGCAGATCGCTCCTCTCACCGGAGCGACGTTCGACTTTGGACTAGCTCAGGAGACTCACGACTGTCGAGTGATGGACAAGCTCACGAAATACCTCGACCGCGGACCCTCAACGGAATGCCTTGGGGGACCTCCTCTGCCGATATCCTCTGGTTCTGAATGACTACATTGCACACGCCTGCCAGACACGTGAGAGACGATAGCACAGCTATCCAGAAACTCCGGAACGTGGTCGATGTCGTACGGTCCCGCACCCGATCCGGGCTCACTGGCTTCCCCAGCTCACCGCAACTGGAGCTTCGAGGACGTTGCGGCATTATCGCAACGGATTGCCAGGTGCTGTCTATCGCCCGTGACGTCCGTTTGAGCACGGCAGCCATGATCGGAATTGGAATTGGAGATACTCTGAGCATATGTTTGCTGTGGTACTGGATTATTTGCCCTCTGGACCGACTGGGAACGCCGCACACGCGCCGGAGCGGGACAAAACTTCATGCAGAACTTGAGATTCTCCTCCCGCTCGACATTGCCTTCTCCGGATACACCTGAACAGCCGGCAGAGGACGCACCTCACAGAGCCGTACCGTCGATATCTTCGGAGCGATACATAAGAAGTATCCAGATCGCGGGGACATGTCAAGCGACTATGCCTATCTTGAGGTGGATCAACTCGGTGCCATTGGTAAGCAATCTAATCCTTTCACCATCTCTAGAAGCCAAGCTAAGGTGTTCCCGGCGTCGCTTTGCTTACGCCCGTGGAGCTTGGTCCGCACAAGAGTTGCAAAGCACCTGGAGTATCGGTCGAGATGTTCACGATGCGAATGGTGTCATTGAGACCAAGATTGCGTACTCGGATCCGGAGCAGCAGCTGCCGATTCTGGAAGGACTGTTCTCCAACCGATGGGCTGAGAAGCGTCGAACTGAGGTGGCGACGCCGCATGGAGCTTGAAGGCCAGGTTTCGTCCAGCGGGGGTTCGAACTCAGGAGCGAATTTGTGTTTGGAAGGAGGTGACTGGAGATGCAAAAGCGAAAATACGTGTATCTCTCACAGACTCCGGTAGCTCGCACGCTGAACGACCATGGATTTGACGGAAAACATGTCTCAAGTTCCGTCTTCCTATCGCTCTGCTGTCGTCTCTCGCTCGCATAAGCTCTTTTTGTAGCTCTCTTCCATCTTCACTCTTTGCGTACACTCAAAGACTGGACTCCTGCTGAACTCTCAGTACTACATCTTAAGTACAGCCATTCATCCCATTAGGCGTAGTCCAGTCAAGAAATCCTTTAGTCCTGATCACCAGCGGACTAGTCTGCCGCTCTTTACCAATACTCAGCCTGACAGACACCGGGGCATTGATTGATACTGCTGTCGCCGCCTCCGATCATGGTGCGTCATGCTTGTGCAGTAAATAGCCTTCTCTCCCAATACTTACACTTCCTGATATTCGTAAATGTATTGATAGAATGGTGAGGGACTGCATATCTGATGCCTCCGGTGCCGTTACCGGAAAGGGCAAGGATTCGAAGGAGATGATGTTTCTCGGCAACATGTCTTGCTTTGCACGCACTTTTGGGTTTGAGATCAGACGAGGCCATGTTCTAGTGTATCCTGGAGGTATTGGAGCACTACAGAGCCTGATCAAGTCGTGGAAGATCGTGCCCGAGAAGTATGTAGAGATAATCCTACTCCTTGTCGTTTCCCATCATCAAGCTGTGCTTAATCACACTACCATCATCGTCGCCCAGCCAGCGATGATCATCAGGCCGACTTCGGTGCGTGGAGATGTGGTATTAGGGACATCGAACGCATGGCGGTAGTCTTCAAAAGTCGCCTCCGGCTCCTCGGTTTGAAAGACGGCGAATGGACGCAACTTCTGCAAGGACCTTCTCGGCTTCCCACTTGAAGGTCTTGCTATATCGGAGAAGGGAGAGGTAGGTGTAGGAGCGAGTGAGATCTCTACAGTTCTGGTACTCGGGCCCCAGTGCGTATCTGTAGATCTGGTCTCCAAGCTTTCGTAACAGTCAGAGCAAGGAAAACCTTGCTACGTGGGGATATTTGCTGTCCTGAACTGATTGCTATGGGTGCAATGGGTACGACTGGCGGACTTTACTGCGAGTATGAGATCTCATTGAGGAAATAATCGTCGTCGGAGTGACATGAGAAGGGAAGATTCTGATACTGCAGTCGCAGCTCATGTACGCCTCGTTAGCGCGAACTTTGATCCCAAATACCCATTTGCTCTCGACCTCCCGGCCAACCTACCAAACGGCGACAATACTGTAGGACTCATATATGCGTTCAACTTCTCAGAAGCTGCAACAATGAAAGGGTACCTTCTCGTATCGATGGAAAGACCCGAAGCTTGATTATCTTCACCTCCATCGAAGTGCATGAAGTACAGAAACTTGTAACATTGAGAAAGAAAAAGTGATTGGGACTTGCTCAAAGACTCATGAGTTATAAGAAGCATAGTAGACCGCCAATTCAACCAAAACTATCATCTGTTTTCCGTGCTACACATGCTTGTCCTCCGCTCTCAATTGGCCTCGTTTAACATTGAACGGAAGTGACAACACAGCATCCAGCTATTCGCTTCTTAAACACCATTTCAATGATGTTTCACCTCTTCTGAGCCCTCGTACGAGGCGCCCTATCCTGCCTTCTTCTTGTCACCTAGGTCCTCGGTCCAGCCTTTCATATTCCTAGGAACGAGATATCCGTAGGCTCTTGTCGTCTTTGGCACCGAACTTCGCTAAAGTCTACCAATGCTTAGGCCCTTAAGGATCTCCTCCGTAGTGCGCCATCCGCGAGTGTAGCCGGTCAGCTCCTACATCCGTTAGGCGGCTTCTTCACGACATAAGGAGAGCAGACTCACCTAGTGATCCTCCGCGATGCTTTTGATGTAGTCGTAGTCCTGCCGAATGTCGACGCGGTGCGGCTCCTGCTCTTGCATGGTTCTAAAAGCCTGCAGAACTTGTGGCAGAAAGTGCTCCGCGCGCCTAGCACATATGCAGCGAGGTGCCAGTAGTAGCTTGACTGTGTGATCAAGCAGCATAATGTCGCCATGTGCTGGAGATCCATCCGGAGCGCACACGAGGAGACCTAGAGGATCGCCGCTTGGACCTGCGTGGCTCCTTACCGGGCTATGTCTCGGCCAGCAATCGTGTCGATGTATGAGGTAATGCTTGCCCAGTCTCCCTTTTGGAAGAGGCAAGTCAACTCCAGAGCCTTGCAGTCCATTATGATAGCTGCCGCGCACGCCATGGGTTCTTGATCATCCTGATGGGTCGGCGCAGTCTTGTTACCGCGCAAGGTGGTTTCAAACAAAGCAGTGACAGTATTTACCAGATTGATGATCTTGTCGTCCTGCGCTTCCAAGTGCAATCCACTGACTCGAATGTCGCTTGCTATAAAAGGCCAGTACACCTTGGATCGGAGCTTGTCCTGTACGATCTTGAACGAGAAATGTCCCTGCTCGTTATGTACCCTCTGCAGGAGGGGTGCCACCTCGCTCGATAGCAAGCCACTGCCCATGAAGACCCGTACTTGTATAACAGCCTGCCGGTTGAGGCCTCGTGTCTGAAATTGAGTGCTCGCCTCTTAAGGGCCGCTCGTTTGGACGCATCCACATCCGGCAGCACCATGGTTCGGCAGTATTCGTACAGGTCTTGGTGGAGGCGGTATCGGGGATCTGTTGCAGCCTCCACGAGCTTCCACAAGATAGCGGCAAGCGAGAATACTCGAGGTCCCAGCAGCTCTTGTAGCTTTTCCTGCTTGCTGAATCTCTGACGTATTTTGCATGAACTGCACATGCTGCCCTGGAAAGATGCACTGGTAGAGTGAACGTATTACTTTACATTTTCGCCAGGCGCTTCGGAGGGGGAGTGTTGCGATCCAACTGAATGTTGAATTTCGGAGACAGAGTCGGCTTGAGGTGGATCTACGGCTTGCCGTTTGCATGATAGAGAAGATCAAAATCGCGATCGATGGTGTCGATACCGCCAGCCAACAGACGTCCGCATATAGTGGCGCCTTTCGCCAATCCATGCTAATGAGGTCGTAGGAGTTCTCTCCTTAACCGCAGCCTGCCCGATTCTCGAATCAATCTGTAGTTCCAAGACTTGCGGCCTCACTCCATTCACTTCTGTGGCTTCTCGATCCAGCCCTGCTTGTCTTCCGGAATGCTGTACTCGTACGCCTTCGAAGTCTTCGGGACTCGCTGCTTCAGCTTCTTGCCGATACTAAGACCCTCGAATACCTCTTTCATTGTCATCCACCCGCGAGTATATCCTGTGAGTTTCTATTCGAGTCAGCGTATCTTCTTTCTAACGAATGATACCAACTTACCAGAGGTGTATCGAGGATGCTCTTGAGATACTCGAAGTCCTCCCGGATATCAGCGCGCTCAGGCTCGTGTCCGCGCAATATATCGAAGGCGAGGATCGTCTCCATCAAGCAGATCCGGGCAGCAGTGGTCCCACTCTGCCATGGTGCCATCAGGAATTTCATGGTCTGATCCAGCAGCATGAGCTCTCCGTGAGACAGTAATCCCCCCGGAGCTCTGACCATAAGCTCAAGCGGGTCTCCATTGCCCCCCGCGCGATTCATGTACGAGCTGACGTCCATTGCTGCGACACTATTACCATAAGCGATGACGCTTGCTCCCTTCCCTTGCTCCAAGCAGCAGGTCAACTGTAGCGCTTTGCAATCCATTATGATGACCGATGCTCGGGCCATTGGCTCGCAAGCAGGGCCGCTGGCGGGCAAGGTGGCGATACTTTGCATAGCGCCGTCGAAAGCTGTAGCAATCTTGTTCACCAAGTCGATGATCTGATCATAGCGGCCTCTGCTGTACAAGACGTCGAGATATAATTTCATGTCGTGAGCGGCCTCGATCATCTCCCACATCATTGCTGATAGAGACACGGTGCGAGGACCCATATGCTCCTGCATCATAGCTTTGAAACCGGCCTCGATGTCCCACTCGTTGTGGACGAAGCGACTCTCCTGCCCTGGATACACGCAGCGGGTCAAATTGCACAACAGACGTGTGAGCTGGAGCATGGAAGGCGGCCCGAAGATATCGGTTTTGGTGTTGAGATAGACTGTGAATGGCGGTAGCGTCGACTGCTTGACTGTAAGCAGGGTGTTGCCATTAGCATGGTGGGCAAAATCGAAGTTCTGCGGGCTGAAGTCTATCTTTGAGAACATGAGCCACTGTAGTCCTTGGCAGAAGGCGTCGAGATCTCGAGATCGGACAACGGCGGTCCAGGGTCGCCTCTGCGCTCCGTTGCTTGCGGTCTCCCGGATCTCGAGTCGCATCTTGCGCTTTCCAGTGATGGCAAATTGCTGCACCCTGTAGTGGTTGGTGGTGAGTGCATGCAGTGCGAACGGGGCGAGGAAGCGCTGGAAGTCGTTGCTTCCGTCGCGAAAGATGACGAAGACGTCTACGCGTATTATCACGAGCTTGTTGACCCGGTGAAAGACCTCTTCCGCTTCCTTGTTGACGGTCCGATTGACCTGTAGCAGGCGAAGATCGTAGGCGTACGAGCTCGTGGCGTCTACTCGAGGCTGGCTATTGCCGGGCTCGAGCGCGAGCTCGTAGATGGTGTCTCGAAGTTCCCGGGGCAGCGTGAAGAATAGTGGAAAAAGCGCAGCGGACTGCACTATTGCTGACATGTTGGCAGCTGCGTACGTCTGCTTCAGGAAGGGCTTGGTGTGTCGGATAAGCAATCGGAGGAATCGCGAAGTTGGACTTGGAGTTGAAGTTGCAGATGAAGTTGGAGTTGAAATGGGAGTGGAAGTGGAAGTTGAAGCGGGAGTCTAAGTAGGTGTTGAATTTCGAGTTGAAAGTGAAGTTGAGGTGTTTCCCGCTTGAGATCGTGCGGCGAGCTTTGGCCACCTAGTCACTGCCAAGACTTCACGTGCGCGCAGTGAATTTGACTCCAATGTCCTAGCTCTAGAATGCAAGATCACCATCGCGATGCTCCACTGATCAACTGAATCGAAGCGGGAGTATGGATGCAACAAGAAGAGTGCGGTTCCAGATGGATAGAAGGCGATGGCTCCAGAGTTGACGAGCGGCTACTCGTGGCCTTGGATATCGAGTTCTTGAACGAGGAGAGTCCACCGAAGGAAGTGGACAGTAGGTGAGCGTAAGGCCATCCACTCGAGGCTATAGAAGAGCACACCGCCTGGGCATATAGAAGGGTTCGCCATCAAATGTATATCTAGAGCGGAAAAGAAGTGTATGATGACTGCGTAGGTAGGGAGCGGACTGATAGGTGAACGCAAGAAAGGCGAGAACTCTGGATGCGGTTTTTCCAGTGAAGTACGTGTGGGACGAATGGAACGCGGACAATGAAACGAGGTTCGTTTGTCTGTTGGCCATCCTGTGGGATTCTTTCAGGTCCTCAACTTGATTGCTGGCGCTCCTTGAGTCGGACCTTGACCACATTTCTTGTCCGGTTTTGCTGTCACGATTGCTCACTGCATTTACCACCCGTGCTTGACAATGCGACACCCACAACAAGCCCGCATTGTGGTCAAAAGCTAGGCGCAATCACTATGGCGACGCTGCAGGAAGTAGAAGTCTGTGATTGTTGCGTTTGGTATGCAGGCGGTCGTACGCCAAAGATGCCCTTCATTTGCCGGCTCCGGTCATTGTATCACAGGAAACAACCATAGAGGCAGACCGCTCTTGACCTTAGGACGCGTCTCGAGAGACGCGAGAGTCATCTGCATTGTACTATTAGGATCGAACAATGTATTCATCCGTTCATGGTGTCCCCCGGTAATCTGCTGCAGCTGCATATCTTTCTAACCCGAGAAATCGCTCCGGATTGCCTGGAGCACAGGGAGGCCTTCGCGAGTTGCTGCTATAAGAAAGGCTCTTCGCCGTCCTTCACTGTGTAATGCTCCGATGCCTCTTGATACCCCCGGTCAGTCCGTCGTCGGCACAAGTCCTCCTTCCAGCAAAACGCCGACGTATCTATCGGAGTTGACCGCGAATGGGCTATGCAGGAGCGTGGCGACAAGTTGACGCATCCAGTATAGAGGGGAAGCCTTGGCCAGCTGCCGGCGGTGTCCAAACCGTTCGAATAGGCTACAGTGGGAGTAAGAGGACGCGCAAGACTTCGTCGCGAGGTTTACAGGGCCTACTGGTGCGTTACCACGCGTTGCTCGTTGACTTTGCAGCGCTGTCGCTCCATCGGCGTTCAGTTGATAGATATGTGTTCGTCCGCATGCTACCTCATAGACTCTGCGCACAGCAGTCCCGCTCGCCACTGTGTATACTATGCAAAATATCTCTGCCGTCTCTTTCCATGTGACGCGCGCGGCGCGCCATGGCTCGCACCGTCAAGGCTCGTATCGGTCGTGCCTCAGTATCTTGGAGGACTGCGGTATCTTGCAGTACTGGGACGACAGGATCAGGGCGCATGCTCGATTGGGATGCTCAGGTCGGGCGATTAAGGAGGCATCAAGATGAGGTTGCTGTCACATGCGGTCAGCAAATTGGACCGACGGAGATCAGGAGGAGGCTGAACTGCCCAAAGTTGCCCCGGATCGTAGCAGGCTCGCAAACTGACGGTCGTATCCCTCTCGCTGTCCCTCTCTCGGTTACCATCTGATGTTGTCGTGGGACTGCTTCTGTGGGAAGCCCACCTGACGACTCTCGTGCCGCCAATGCTCCCGCGGCTGTTGACTGACTGGGCGAAGGTGGAGGCCAGAGATCGTCAGCGCTCGCCTTCCCTGCCGCTCAACAGGAAATGCTCAATAACTGACTCTGAAGATCGCAACTCCAATCAATGCCACCGCTGCGTCGCGCTACGGCGCAAGAGCACGAATGGCTCCCGGCGGTGGGCCGTACGGAGAGAGGAATCCTCGGCCTCACGCTCCAGACGAGGCCATTCAAAACACGAGTAACACGACAGGAGCACAATGAGGCGAAGCAAGTCCAGCGCACGCGTCGGCGAGCGACAACAACGAGGGCGACGAGACGCGTAGGTGGCGCACCGAAGCAGCATACAGTCAGTCAACAACAACACATCAACGTCACACTAGAGATACTTCTCCAACCACCAGCCGTGAGGCCAATGAACTGATGAAAAAAAGAAGGCAAACCCGAAGGCAGCCTGGTTGTGTTCCAAAAATTCCAGCGGTGCCGCCAGCAGTGACCGAGCGCCTACCAATCTGCCCCGCTAAGAGTAACAGGATCAACCCGATCACTGCGCCTGAAGAAAAAAGAAGAAGAAAGGAAGAAGGTGTCTGGGGAAAAGGAGGGCCCTTATATAGCTTCGAGGCCAGTGCGCACGCTAGGCTTTGACAAGGTGGGGTACTGATTAGCGGAGCGGTAGGGTAAACATTCGGTTGCCCAGTGAGGACGCTGTTTACGCCAATAAACAGCGTATGGTGACGTCGGTGATGTAGATTCAGGGCCGCAGGCGCAGTTGCAAGAACGCCAAGATTGCATGTGAAAGCCAGGCACCACGCCATCAAATGATATCTTTCCCGATACCCCTTTGACCATCCACATCAGAAGCTTCTATGACAGTGGAAGATGTCTCAAAGCTTTTGAAACTCCCGATCGGGCGGACACAGCACGGCTACCAGTGGTAAGTATATCCTCGCCGGCACCCCGTAGCTTCCCATTGCCGGCCGCGACCATGACCATGTCTTCTGCAGCAACAAGCGCTCCCGCATCACCCCGAACAGCCAAGCCAAGGTAGGAGCTACCAGAGGTGGCTCCGACAGTCTGAGGGGGCCAAGACGCTCTGGAAGGGCAAGAAGGGCGAGGAGTGACGGAAGATGCGTGTGGCGGGCTTGTTAAGATGCTATGACAAGATCGCAGAGGGTGCTTGACAGGCTAGTGTAAAGATCAGCGTGAGTGGCAAGAAGACTTTTGATGCGGACACTCTGATGACTCTGACACCTGGGCCGCAGGCGATCCCCCTTGGGCAAAAGACAGCATCCTCCACGCCGCCAGTTCCGGTTGAGAGAGCGACTCTATGATATCCATTGTACAACTCGCGAGAGCTTACCACCTTTCCACGCAATGTCGTGTCCAATACGCCCTGCATCCGATCCACCGACTTCGCATGTCTCGACATCAGGGGCCGTTTGGGACTGTCGGGCGTCGCATTGGGTGCCTTGATGACGACAATTGGCTTGAGAAGGCTCAAGATCCGGAATGATATCTGCGGCACCGTTGAGCTAGACGGACGAGCTTCGAGCACTATTGAAGAATATCCTCGAAATATTTCTGGGAAACTGAGAGCAATATTGGCACCTGGCTTGAGGAGCTTGGAGACAGTTCAAAGAAGAAAGTATCGAGGATCTCAGAACTGCAGAGAATATGTCAAATGATCTTAAGTTGGTTGGAGAAGAGCTCCAGGGCGCCGTGAACTTCCAGGGCACGAGACAAAGGAGAGTCACCGGTATAATGAATACACAAGATCGAGGATGACTGCAAGAGCTGAAGATATGCGGCAGAATGCTCAATAGGTCGGTCACAAGATCAGCTACCTTACGACACTCTGATGGAAGCCATAGTCGAAGGCGTGATGCTCGGCTCTCATCAGTGTACCTAGTACCAGCAAACTCGAGATGTCTCCGTCTCTCAAACAAGTACTCGTATCCCCCCGGACCGCGGCATGGAAGCGGAGAAAGCAGCCAAGATTGAACACACGGTGTCTTCCATTCAAACATCTCGAGAGAGATGTAAGAGCAGACATCGGGCCAAACTTCAGGTGGCCACTAATTTCTTCTTCTCAATGGGCTTGCCGGTAAATGGATGCACACAGGTTTTGCAAGGGGAACGAGGGATCGTCGATTCCATGTCCATATAGTGGCAGTGAGGGTCTTGAACTTCGCTTCTGATACCACAGGAATCATCGTTGCTTCCAATCAACCGCTTGTACAGACGAGACTCACGCCAAAACTTGTCAAATGCAATACTACGAGGTCTTCTCTGGGCAAAGGAGCTGATCTTCCGCAAACGCACTCTCCACCCGTCATGGAGCAGCATCTCTTGTCGTTTCAAGCTCCATAGGCAGTCTCAAGATGACTGGAAACAATCTTTTTTGTGAATCATATGGCCACGTGGAAAGCCCTGCTGCGATGGAATCTCAATCTCCGTCTTGTAAAGGGCTTAGCACAGCTGAGTGGGCATTGGCACCGATATCAAATCGATAGAAAAGGAAGAGACATTAGGCTCGCGCACCACAGAATTCGAATTCAGTAGCTAAGCAAAGGATACAAACTTGCCCATCCCTTTCATGTAATCTTTTCAGCCTTCGTTATATGCATTGTAGCTCAAATCACCGCCTTGTCCCCCGCGAAAGGACTTTCCATCAAGCAGCGACTGGCTCTTGACCCAAGTGAAGCGAGATGCTTACTGGGCGCTGCACATGCCGGTGATGGGGTGGGCCTTTTGGATAGCACACAGACCAGTGATGGGCTGGGCCTTCTGGAGAGTGCACAAGCCGGTGATAGGCTGGGCCTGGAGGGTGCACAAGCCGGTGATGGGCTGAGCCTGGAGAGTGCACAAGCCCGTGATGGGCTGCGCCTTTTGCAGGATGCACAGGCCAGTGATAGGCTGGGCCTGGAGGCTGCACATACCGGTGATTGGGTGGCCGACCATTTTGATTGATTTGTTGGGTTTCGGGGGGTTGGACTGTGAGGACGTATTAGCTGAAGGGTTTGATGATGATGGCTGGGATGCGTACCTGGCAGTAGCGAATGTAAGTCGGTTGCAACTGGGGTGAGGAGGAAAGCTCTCAGACAGCGGTGTTGAAGGGGTTGATATAGGCGCCGCTCCGGTGCCGACACTTCTGAAAGGTGATAGCTTGGCTTTGATCTCTTGCCATGGCTTGTTTGAACTTCAACATGATGACGAGCCTGGAGTGCAGGTTGACCTCGGTTGAATCGCCCTTGGTATTGTTCTTCGGAAGCGACCCCGTTCATTCTCCACGTTTTTGCTACTGAGGCACGCGCTTGATATTGTTCTGCGCAAACAAAGCCGATGTCAAGACAACGCAGGTGCCACGTGTTCGGCACAGGGCTGAAACGCCAACATGCCAGCCACGATAAGCGATAGTGGTATTGCCGGTAGACGATCAAAGGTATGGCCAGGCCTAGTCCACGCTCGGTATGGGAGGTTTCGGCTCGATCTCTATCCGGATCTTTTTTCTACTGACCAACGATCAGCACCATGTCCGACTTGCCGTCCGAGAGTTTGATTGCATGGAGACCGAGTTTGGCTCCCATATGGGTGGCAGAAGAAACTGCGAGTGATTGGGCTCGCAACCTTCTTGGGGATCGTAGATGATTTCAATGCGTCTTCCAAGACGGGGAACAGGCCGAATTTGCTCGCTCAGAAGCCATGGTGCACGCTTCTCCTGCCAACTCAAACTGTGACTTTCGATCGTTGAAGCATGAGTTGGACTCCGTGGGTTTCCTTTGGTGTTTCCGTAGCCTGGACTTTTCCATCTGCCGCTGCGACAGATGTAGTCTGCACAGAAGGGCTGCATGGCTGCCTTCGGCAACAAGCTCCAAGGCGTGTCGCCGTCAGTCTCTGTCTGCAACTTGACCACAAATCCTCACTTGGCGAAATCATCTCAGAAAGATATCAGAGACCTGCGCTAACAACGATCATACAAGCAGTATCCCCAGAATATCGACCACGGAGAAGGAGTCCGCCACCGAACGTTTCTTCGCCACCGTTGAAAAGGTCAAGCAAACTGTCCTCTACCTGCCGTCAACACGCATCATCTTCTGCGGACGCGTCAACAAACATATGTACGCCGTCGATCGCGGGTCGAACGAGCTCATGGTGCTCACATTCCGCTCCCACCATCCAAAGATGAATCTCCTCGAATCCTACGTCCTCCGCGGCCATCAGCCATACATCCGCATCAAGCCGATCCTTGACATCTATAAACTCGGTAAGGCTGGATAGGCTTCTCCGATAGCCTACATGACGATGATATGGCGTTCGATCTCTCAGTCGAAACCCTTCCAGACGACTCTCGCCACTCTTCAGGCTCCGCTGAGAGAAGGTCGCGGTCAGTCCCTCGACCTCTTTGGCGAGGCAGCGCCAGTGATATTTCAGATCCTGTACAGAAGCCGTGCAGCGGTCGCTCTCGGAATACATGAGCTGTAGACTTGCCGATTCGAGGAGAGTGTGAAGATTGCAAGTGAGCTTACAGAGGATAACGGATAAGTGTCGCTAGTCCAAGATGGTCGACCTTGCGAAGGAGGAGAAGGAGGCAGAGTCAACAGTTCGCTCGTGAAGAAAGGTCAAGATCGACGGAGACCCCAAGAACGCAGAGAAAACGGAGGAGAAGGGTTGAAGCGCTGAGGGTGTGGGCCAAGCGCTAAAGGAAGCAAGCCATTGAAGCGGTCACATTGCTCTGCAATGTAGAAGGTGAGGAGCACCGTCAAATAGCGAGGGAGAAAAAAGGGGGTAGAAGCAAAGATACAGAATGCGAATAGTTTGACAGAAATGAGAGCAGTCGTCGTGAGAAGGTCCGACCAGCGATTGAACACGCGAGGCCCAAAGGTGATGGTCGCGCCTATCTTGTCGCTAAGAGACTACTCGACACACATCCATGACCACATTTCCGTTGCCACTCCTATGGCTGTAATACGCTGGCCGTGTTTCTCTCATTACCAGCTCTATTATCTCTCCGTATTTCGCTGAAGTATCTTTCAGCCGTCGCAGGATGGTCTCCCCCGCTCGTTCGGTCTGGCTCAATTCAACGTCCGCCTCAAGTTCGTGTACTGTTCAGCCGTCCACCGTGCTTCGGCGAGCATCAACTCTCGCGTCGAGTCTCTGATGCGGAGTATGTCAAGGTCCTCTGCACCAATTGACACCCAGTCCGTTGACCGTTTCAATGACCTGCGACTGCGCAGAAAGCGCCACAACCCCCTGGCCATAGCCATAGCATCCCCGATCGTGCAAGACTTCAAAGCAACTTTCCCTTCATAGAACCAGGAATTTAACGACCGTGGCGTGACGTCCTGATGGTATTGGGCCACCTTGACAATCAACGGAACATTCGGATCAGCGAGATGCAGTCGCTGCCAAGATCCCGTATGCTCGTGCGCCTCAAACACTTCCTCGTCGAAAGTGATGTGCAGCTTCATGAAACTGCCAGCGAACGTACCTTCGCCTTCGTATGGCCCGTCCAAAACCATGTGATCGGCGCCGTAGGGCAGCTGCAGCGTAAATAGAATCCGTGCTGGAATACCTGACGTCTATAATTTCTTGGAAGAGTGTTCCCCCGAACAACGAGAGGGTTGTAGTCGTACCCAAGTATCGGCGGATCATTCTGCACAGCCGGCGCAGCGGGCGCCGGTACGGCGATGAGATCTCCAGAGACTTGTTGGAAAGTCTTCATTTGCAGCTTCTTCGAACCTTCGTAACACTCTTTGAACCGCTTGCGTACGCTCTGCACGGTCCTGATCGTAGCAGCGGGCAGATGGAAAAGAATGTTCTCAAGTAGCTCAACGACCATGAGGACCCTCTCGCGCGCGGATGTAGCGTCTTTTACTTGCTCGATCTCTCCGTCTGTCTCCTGCTCGCGCTTCTCAGAAAGATGGATGCTGCGGAGAGATGTCGCGAGCGCTTCGAAGGCATCCTCGAAGCCGATGGGGCTGTAAAGGCCGTCTTCCTCATCTTCTTCATGTTCTGCTCCAAGTGCCCCTGCGCCGCCCGATTTTTGTGTTCTGTTTGGTGGGTTATGGTCTCTTGCTGGACGTCTGCGCTTTGGAGGTCGTCTAGAAGGCCCGTCTGGTTGTTGGTGCACGTATTCGTAGTCTTCGTCCTCCTGGGATTCGTAATCAGTCTCAGCTGGAGATCGAGGTACGAGAGCTGACATCGCGGATGATGGATGGTAGTGATGGTTGTTGTGGTAGACCATACCTCGGGCAATTGGGTGCGTGGTGTTCGTGTTTGGCCGATGTTTATGTGGACAGCGGGTGCCAGGTGTAAAGAAGAGTGGCCCGGCTCCCGAACAACACAACCCTGAAGCATTCACGATGGCATTCACGTTGCAAATGTCTCACGTCTTCCAATCACGTCTATGAATAAGCATGAAGAATTTGAAATCGAGCCATTGATCTTTATGATTCTGCATGTGACGATGGCACTGTATGCATCGATTTGGATCTCTAGCGACCCGAAAGCAGCATCTCCTCCACACCAAATGATCTAACTATGCACAGCTGTCCAGATTCCGCTCGTGCTTGCATCCATGACGCCTTCGCTTTCCGCCATGACCTCTCAGTATCCTCTGACATTTCGAAATGTTACCCCAGCCTCTTTTTGACGACCATTGTCTTCGTCACCTCCCATCTCGCGGGCTCAGTTGTGCAGGTCCGGTGGTAGTTCGACACACGCGTTGGATCCAACTCGAACATCCCACTGCTTGCCTTTCGGAAGTACTTCGTCACCAGGAAGGCGTTCAGTCCTTGTGCGATCGCCACCACCCTTCCTAGTGGACACCTGCGGACCGGCACGTAGGCCCTCACCTTTCGCCGAGTGAACCCAGCCGGAGATACCTCATCGTCTATACACTCAACCGTGATGAGAATTGGACACGGGGGATCAACGGCGACTAGGTGCCGCCAGGACCCGATGTGTTTTATCCGCCATGTTTCGTCCTTGTCAAAGACGATGCGGATCTCGCTGTGTCCTGAGAATCGCTTATCACGACATATCAGCAGCATATCCATATTGGCCACACCCTGAGGGAGTAGAAGCTGTACATAGGTCTGTCCAGCGGGCACACCGGGAAATCGCCAATTTGGCGTTGGGCCCCAGGACTTGCTGACCAGAGCGTTGACTTGCGAGTACACCAAGTTTGAATTCGGTATAGGGTAATGTACGCCGGATGGTCGGAAGAAAGTCTTAGCTTGAAGCTGTGTCTTAGATCCGGCGTAGCACGCCTTCCACATCTTGCAGACTGACAGGACTGTGAGGATGTTGCCAGGGGAGAGGTAAGAGAGGATCTTCTCCAGCAACTCCGTCGTTTCCAAGACTCGATTGGTTGATGCTATCCGCTCAAGAGCTGCCTGTTTCTTCAGCTCTGCATCTTTCCGCGTCTTCATCCCTATTTCCTTTCCTTCCTCGGAGACGAAGAGCTTGTCGAAGCTGTCGACGAGCATGTTGTATTCTCTCCCTAGATCAAGTGGGTTCTGCGACGAGATATCCTGACTGCTGATCTCGTCCTCTTGTGCGTTGCGCATACCGAGGTCGACGCGCTTTGCATCATCTCGAGCACCTTCAGAGCTTGCTTTCCGCTTGTGCGTCGGGTTGATGGCTTTCTCTCCCATCGTCAAACGCTGAGTCTGTTGCACGGCCTTGAGAGGTTGATGGCTGCCAGCGAGGTCGACTTCGTACAGTGCAGCACCGGACTTGTCCTTCTTGTTGTTGATACGCTTTCGAAATCGGAGCTTGTCGACTCGGAATCCAGACGAGGTGATCTTGCGTTTTGTGATGCGATGTACGCTAATAGGCATGATGATTCCGACTTCTTGGCCTTCCGTGTTTGGAGGTACGTGGCTGTAAAGGGGATGCGCGCGGTTGCAAGGTTGTCTTTGCTAGTGAACGAGTAGTGATGGTGGATGGAGTAGTTAACGTGTTGGTTGTGGTGTGTCTGAAGTGTGTTGATTGTGGCCGTGTTTGATGTAGCAGAGGCGCGTAGCTGATGTAAATATATAGAGCGAGTCTTAGCCGCGTCCCGCGACAACGCATTGGTCGTCACGCGCGGAATTTTCAATTCACTCGTCCCACCGTAGCTACGTATAGCATAGCTACATCACTCGGCCTAGTGAATGGACCTCCGAACCGGTCTCCGAACAAGAATGCCTTTGTTAGAGGCGAAGCCGAACCGCGACAAGGGGAAAGGTAATGCTCATTCGAACATCCCAAATTCCAATGGTTTGGCATTCTGCCGCTGCAGAAGAATTGTACGGATAGTACGGATAGTGAAGGAGAAGAGTAATTCAATTCAGTCTATAACGCCTCTTTGGGTTTACTATAATCGTTGCAAGTGCAGAGCTCAATTGATATTCGATCACAACCAGAGCTTTTCCATTATTCCTTCTTCGACAGCTTGCAGACACCCCGTGCTACGACTATCAACCACCGCTCATAGTATTGTTGCCCCGAGAATCTCATCCAGTAGCCTCCTTATTGCCAGGTAACGGACCCATCCACAGCCTTCACCTTGCTCTTGCCCGCGAGCTTCTTGCAAATCTCACAACGCTCCGCAACGCAAGCGGCCATCTCACGAATGGGGTTGTGCGTACGCACATTGACCCGCGTGAGCTCGGCTGGGATGTAAGTGGAGTATGGCGAGACTCCTACCTGCAGCTTGGATTGGAATGGTGCAGGGTCATACATGTAGTAATGTTTGCGGTGGGCGTGGCTGTGATACCCCTTCCCCAGGTCGAGAAGGGAATGAATGAACGGCAACCCACTCGTAGGAGAAGTCGTGTTGCTCTGATTGTTCTCGCCGAGTGAGGAGTTGCAGGTGCCGCAAGCCTCGAGGTTGCAGATCATTGCTGCTGTTGAGCGCTCATAGCCCTTGTCGTTTCCCGGCATGACGGTGATTTGCACCACCGGTCCGCCGTACTTGTAGATGTTGGAATTCGGGTCGATGATGCCGGTGTCTTGTGGTGCTTGAACTGTCTCCGCGCGGCGTGGAGACGGGTATAACTCGAAACGTGAAGTTGTAGGATCTGGTGGTCCGGCCGGAGTGAGATCGCAGCGATGGAACATCGGCAGCTTACCCGGATGAAGGTCGCCTGGAAAGATTCCATCCAATGCGCCTTCGATTGCCCCAAGGCGAGAGATGGTGAAGATGACCTCCTCATCGTCGTCGCTCCCGCCTTCCAGCATCCCATCTGGGTTATGGGCTGATACATCCCTTGCTGCCGTGTCCGTCTTGCCGGCTTCCTCGATGCTTGCATTGTTCTCCGTCTGCACATTGTCTTCCTTTACAGTATCCTCCTGTTCGTCTGCGTGTCGTGAAACGGAGGCCTGGGGATAAAGTGATGCCGCGGTTGTCGGAGCCGCAAGGGCAGAAGTGAGGCTGCTCGCCTGCGGAGTTGTGTTCGACTGTCCACGAGCAAAGTCGGGCAGCTGGTGGGCAGCAATGAGGTCGATGTTGTTGGCGCTAGCTGCAGCTTGTACTCGGGTGTTCATATCCGCAAACGCAGTGAGCTCTTCCTGGGTGTATGGCGAGCTGTTGAAGGCATTCGGGCGATCTACCAGCTGCCAGTTCTTGGACGAGCGGCTTGGCGTCCAGCGCGGCTGATACTGGTCGTAGAAGTGTCCTTCGCCGTAGCCGCGAGTCTGCATGTCGGGAAAGATCTGCCACATGATGGTCTTCACAGCCGCCTTTGAAAGACCTGGGTATTGCTCATTGAGTATGAGAAGAGCGCGCAAGTGCTCGACCTGCCAGCGGAACGGAGCGTTCAATCGAGATAGTGCAGGACGGTCTGCGTGGTGGCGCTTCTGAGTGGAAACCATGGTGTATGGTGGGGGTGCAGCGGGCGGTATCTTGTCGCGAGAAGTCGATGAGGTAAATCGGGTGTATGATGGATGTAGCGGGAGGAGTGGAGAGAAGAAGTCTTGCTGAATGATCGGGGTGGTTTAGTTTGGGGGAGCGGGCTTTTTATGAGCGAGCTGCTGAGCGTCGCGACAAGTGAATGGTACTAGTCACTACTTCCCGCTCCCGAGAGCTTAACTTCGTCCCATGTGAAGGAGCTTGGCAAGGGACAGTCACCGTCCACTTCTGCGTCTTCTTCGGCAAAATACACTCTACGTGTATTCAAATGTGTGGATTGCTGTTCAGGGTTTGATATAGTCGCTGGATGTATACAAGGGCTGATGGATGTGTGTAGAACTCGTTGAGAAATCAACTGCGCAAAACGGCATGTAAGGAGAAAGGAAGCTATTATATATCCTCTGTCTAATGGTTTGACGTCTGAGTCAAGATCAATGATCTTCCGTCATGTTTCATCCTTTTACATCCTAGCGTTGATTGCTACAGAAGAACGCCTAAGCCGTCCCCTTTGCACGGCAAGCGTATCCAGCCAGACAATGCGGTGGGCTTATAGATGTTTGATAGGAGTTGAAAGGGCACTAGAAATAAGAAGGGAGCATCTTTAGCACGATCAGTTATGTTACTATCGTTGTGCACTCGATGACCCTGTTCTCAGTGCCAATGCGAACGATTCTGAAGTTGCATTGAAGCACATGCTCTACATCCCCGCCTCTGGGCTGCAACATAGTCTTTGTCCTTGACTCTTTGTCATGGATCCGACGCTCCTTGATAGAGACAATATCACTGGCTGTCCAACGATTCGACAAGGACGTGAGACCATGAAAGGATCTGGATACCGCGTGCTAGGAGAAGCTCACTTGAGAGACAAAGATCGGATAGCCTCGACCAACGTGGATCTCCAGGCTCACATCCAATTCAGTGAGGCTCCAATCTCATGAACTCATGACAGCCAAGGAATCATGCATTGCTTGACCTGAAAGGGTGCGCTCGATTTCTGGTCGGTCAGAGAGATCTTCTGCAAGATACCGCTGATCACTCGGAGTCTTAAATGTGTTGAAGCTAATCTTTGAGACCATCTCAGTCGTGCTGATAGATCACATTGGGCTCCCCCACCGGCCGTACTGATTGCCCAGGTTGTACTGGTTGCGTTGGCTTTTGCTATGCAAGCGACCGTGGTTGAAGTTGAGGTTGAGGTTGTGGTTGTGGTTGTGATTGCGGCACAGGAGCTGTCTGCATATAGCTGAGTTCCTTCGACGGAGAATATGACCAAGACTTTTCGAGCTTCTCCAACATTGGAGCAGTAGGCATCATTGGATAGCCATACAACTGTAGAGTAGGCTGCCTAGGCTACTGGGGTATTGTCAATGGAGGGGCCATCTGATTTGATTGAAACATTGGAGGCATCTGTGAAGATGCTGTGGAGCAGCGACCGTCTGCACTGGAGCTCTCATATAGCTTGCCTGCATCGACGGAGGTTCTTGTGGAGGCTGCTGGTGCTCTACAAGTAGAGGCACTGGTGATGGCGCCGCTTCGTAGATCAGTGCCATAGGATGAGGCAGAGTTCGCGAGTAGCGCAGCTGCTGCATGGGCTGCGCCGCTGTGACAAGACGTCGGTTATACAATGTCTGCGCTACCATAGCATTGGTTTTATGGATTGAGGCTGATGGCGGTCCACAGACATTGGCGTAGGAGCATTCTCCAGATTCTCCGCCGGAGAGTACAATATCAGCCTGTGTTCAGGCGTTTCCAATGGCTGGAGTGGAGACTGCTCGTATGGCGCGGGTCGAGGCGCTGCCTCTGCGGGGTTTTCAAGTATTGGGAGTGGACTCCTGGAGTACTTTTCGTCCACTGGAGGTAGTATATGTCCATGTTTCTCGGGAGCGTGATATATCGGAGGTAGAGGCTCATGCTTCTCGGGCGTTGACGGTAGCTAAACACGCTACTCCTCCTGTTCCTCCTCGTGAGGGCTCATTGAGCGTTGATCATTCTGGAAACTAGTCAATGAAATTCCAGCATTGGACGAATCATGCCATTTTGCCGGAGCACGCAGATACCAAGCCAACAGCGGCGAGCGCCACGGCGAGAAGTTTGCGATGCATGTTGCTGGTCTTGTAAAAGCGAATGTATTGAAATGAACGCTATGCCAACTGGAAAGATGAGTGTCGACCATCGAAGTCGTCGGTGGGGACTTTAAACAGATTGAGGAGGATCTGCACTTGGAGGCTGTTTGCCACTGTGGTGAGAGCTGGACGACCTTGGAGGTGTGTCTCTGAGTTCGTGAGCTATACAACCAGCCATGATTCCCAGAAGGTCTTGGACAAACCCAGCATCGCGGTAAAAGAGCAAGCTGTCCAGGCTCCTGCGTCATGTCAACTCGTTCCGCACGCGGTCTCATAGCCCTTTTCCGTCGATCGCCGGTCAACCGCGAATGTGTACATGAACACTATGTGATTGTTGCATCGACGATCCAATCTTCACGTGCCGATGAGGAATGCACGATCAGGTGAGCGAGCTACCGGAGCTTTCCGACTCCTTCGTTGGTGCAGAGAAAGGTTGCTCGACTGGCATGGAGCTGGCTTTTCCTTGCCTTCATCCGAAATAGAAAGCTTTTCGTATAGATCCTGGACCTGGATTGCATCCCTTGTTGGAACTCCGGCCGTGAACACCAGAGCAGGCATTGACATCCTACGAGCTCGGTAGATATGCGCGGATGTGCACTCATCCGCGTCTAATGTAGCGGAAAAGATTACAAGTCTGCTTCAGATAACGCTCTTCACCAGGTTATAAATATCAGAGCGAACTGCGAAAGATCGAGATGCACAAGGCCTAGCCGCTGGGCTACGCAGCTCCCGTAAAAGATAATGACGGTGTTAGCGGGAGAGTTGAAGTTTAACACAAGTAATTTGTGTATGTGTGCAATCTCGGCAGTTATGCTTGACAGTTGACAGACTGAGTTGAAGTACGTCAGCAAAGATGTAGGCTGCGCCACCGAAATGTTCCACGCGATGCCGTCTCACCATCCACGCCTCGCCTTCTCATGTCCATTCGCAGCACCGACGTGGCCCTTCTCCACAGCTTTCCCATGTTGGGTCAGAGAAGAGTCCTCTGCTGTCCACAGAACGACTCCGGAAGATCTAGTGTGCTGGACCTGCACCAGTAGCCTCGTTGATTCTATCGTCCCTTCTGGACCCAATGGCGCGAGCTGCAGACACCATGTATGGCTTCTCGTATCGTATCAAACCCAGAGGCATCATCGCATCCAGAGGAGCTCGTATCAAGATCCGAGACGGTCTTGAAAATCTCGTGGAATATGTTGTCGAGTGATCTGATGCCTCCGTCAGAAGCACGGGTCTTGACCATGTTACCATGGAGTTGGCGTTGCTCGAGGAATCGTGAATCACTGGCCTTGTTGGCCCTTCGATCCAACTTTTCGCGGCGGTCCTCTGTATCACTCTGTTGCCGGAGACCAGGTATGAAGCGTCAAATTCGTCAGACTTACAGACTCAGTCAGCGTGATCGACCATGCTCTGTAGATGTCTTACCCAGCGGACGGGTCTGGCGAGAGCAGCGGCGCTGCAAGCAACAATCATGTAGATGACTCTGATATGCATGTTCTCCGGCTAGACAATGGCTCCCGCGCGCAGCAGAAACAGTGCTAGATCTTCGCTCTTGATATATGCCCGTCTTATTGTCCAGCGATGCTCAGGTCGTCATGTCTCCTCATTTTCCCATCTGCCGGCGGCGAGCCCTGTGTGGCTATTGATCGGCAATTTCAATCTCCCATGCAGACTCTATCGGGCGATCGCGACTGTCCTCATGATCGATTTTCCCATCTCCTGTTGCCTCCTTTCGCCTGTCGCACGATAGCGTTTTCACCATATCGGCGTTCATGAGACTCAATCCTGACATCGAGGTTCAGAGCGCACGAAGAAGCTCGACGACCTTTACGGTAAGTCATGCAATCGTTAAGCATCATTTTCGTTGTAGCAGAGTCGGAGAAGTGCTGAGATTTACTTTGCAATTGTCAGGGAGCGAGCAAGTAGCTCAGAAGTTGCTAAGCAACAGCCGTAAATCAGCCGAGGAAATACTGTCAGCCGTGAAGTCCGGGATCGCCCAGCAATAAGACGACTTCATCTCATCACGAAATACGGCGGAAGAAAAAGTGTAGAAAAACAATTCGCAAGAGAAGACGTCAAAGAACGACACATCATCATTTTACATACTACCAGTCTATCACTCTCGCTATGCCGTAAGGACAGTCGTATCATCGTAAATCACCCATCGTCCCTATAATACTTCCAAACAAATCTTTCTCAAGTCGCTCTTCCCCAAGCTCCCTCTTTCAAGCCTTCCGAGATCCACCCTGATAGATGTTGCCATTGTTCTGATTGCCATACTGATTCTGATAGACACTGCCAGAACCACCAGTGCCAGTATATTGCACGATACCGGAGTTACCGGAGTTGGATGAGCCGTATTTGTATGGGTAAGGGTAAGGGTAAGGGTATGGGTAACCACAGAATTGGTACGCGCACGGGTTGTAGTTGATCAGCGCGCCATTGTAGCCGAAATGGAGGCCGAGGATATTGGCGTTAATGCCCACGTACGCGCCTCGGTAATAGCAACTGTTGCCCCAGCATTGCTTGCCGGTGACGCCGTTGGCCATTTGTCCTTCCAGGCGATTTTGGGGCGCTTGCGCTTCTTGGACTTTCTGGGCGACTTGGGCATCCTGCGCGGCTTGCTCTGCGCGAGCGACGAGGGCAGCGTCAGAGTCCGCGATGTCGCGGGCTTCGATAGGGGAGAGGACCTGCATACATATCATCAGCTTGAGTGGGAAAGTTGTTGATAGGGAACACTGACATCCGGTGCTGCCACATCGACAGCACGCTGCTGGACTGGAGCATCCATGACCTGGATAAACATTAGCATTCATCGGTGAGGTATCCTTCATGTCGATCGAACACACTTCCTTGAGACCTGCAGCTGCCACAGGCGCTGCGGAGACTCCAGTCATGGCAACAGAGGCCAAAGCGACGGTAATGTACTTGATTTGCATCTTGGATGGTCCCGATTGGAAAAGATTGTTGAATGGGTGTATCTCGAAGCTTGCCTTGGCTGGATTTTGCTGTGCCGCGCTGTCTACTGATGGTTTCTTGGTTTATGATCTGAATTGTGTCTCAGAGCGGCAAACCTCGCTCGTCATTATATACCATTGCTTTCGCCCCCAACTCCAAGAAATGACACAAGCCTCCAAGCATTCAATGACACTGCCTTCGACCTCGTAATCGATGCTATCATCGGACTGTCGTTCCTGCGTGAACAAGCATCGAGTCGACACCCGTATGGCCATTCTTTCTCCGTGTACGAGCACCATACCTCCCTTCGGACTCACTCGGCGCTGACGAGCACGAGAGGATGGTATGGTGAGGAGCTCTCCGTGTCCGAGAGAGGCATCGAATGTGCCGATGACACAGTCAGCGGCTTGGAACGGGACGTCCGTACGAATTGGAAAAAAGTCCAAGCAATCCGTTACGGGTTCTGGACGTGGAATGTGATCTTCGCCAAGCATCGCTGATGTGGTCACGATCAACTGATCAGCACATAAGGTTCGTCCGGAATTCTGCACCTCAAGGTTGTCATCCTGGCCAGTTCGTCGAAATAGAACTCCGGAGCAAGCATCCCACATGGAATACCTTGCTCAGAGCTCCAATGCCCAAGATCCGCAGCTGCCGAACAATTTTTGGCAGCGACTCCAGATACAACAGAATGTGAGGCGCAGGAAAGCACAAATATATACTACAGCGGCATGCTGATAGCGTCCAGAGTATGTTGAAGTGATACTGGTCCAAGTCCAAAGATGGCGTGCCACGACCGATACTCTATAGTATCTGTTTCAAACCTTGATTCAGCTTCCAAGTGGGACGATTTCACACAGACGCTGTCGAAGAGATTGTTGAATCCTGCTGCTGGAACCATTGTTGTCGACTATCGGCCTTTTGCGGGAGAGGAGGAAAAGATGGCGACGAGCGTGGTGACGACTTCGATTAGCAGTAATCATTCGCTGCCGACCAAGAGGGGCCGAGAAGGAAGATCGTCTGGCAAGTTGAAAGCGGCTTGTATGCGGGTCTTGGACACGCTGGTTCACGGTCTCGTACCTACACATAATCGGTCTAGTCGCCCGAAGGAGTGTCCCCCCTACCAACAACTGCCGGCTTCCTATTCCACGGCTGTCATTGTGCAGCCACGACAAGACACTGCCTTCGACGACGGAGAGTTCGTCTTTCCTCTGAGGAGATCATCAACGATTCGCGACTATCCCAAAGGCGGACATGGAGCTGTTGAAACCGTCGGTAGCCACGTTCGCCATGATTCCGGTATCGAGTTGGAAGAATGCGACAGCCCCGACCCACCGACATTGTCCAAGTTCCATCTTTTACCGGACCCGAGAGAAGATTTTGAAGAGTTCGACGAGGCATTCTCCATCTGTAGCTCGATTGAATCCCTCGAAGCCGACTTCGAAAAACACTCGCGGGACTCCGGCGCGGAGATGGGCGAGAAATTGATGGTAGCGCAGGTTGTGCAGCTCCGTAGAGCGGCGCGAAAGAGCGTGTATCCTCAGCGGTCGCCTTCCATGCCCACACGGGATGCACCACAGCCACCAAGTGGATATTTTTGAGATTGGTTCGAGTGTCTCTTGGAATTCGGGAGTTGAGTGGAGAGTTGGGATCTTGATACCCGAGGATGTCTGTACGATGGGAAAGAGGGCGAGGAGGGACTATAGACCTTGTTGATGATGACCTGACGAATGACACGATTGAAGAGTTGATGTCTTGTGGGAAGGTTACCTGCGGCGCAAGACTTGGGGAATGGCGTCCTGTATTATATCAGTGGTCTCTTCAGGATAAGATTGATTGATCGAATGCCGCTGCTTAGCTTTTCTCAAACGATGAACTGATGCAACGGAATACTGTTCGGGGTTGCAAGTGCATATATCGATGAGAGAACTATTTGGGGGGAAGGGGGATGTGGAAGAGACGACTCAGGCCGCAGCGTGAAAACAGGGACTAGCTGCGATTAAGGTTCTCGGCAACAGGCTCCGTGATGGAACTACTCCACGCACGGACGGGCTCATCACATGATCCTTACATCAACAACGACGACGCACCAGCACGATAACAAGAATCGCGGAAAATCATGGTGAGAAGTATTGCGCAACTCTTGGACATTATGCAGACTAACTACGTCTATCGCCCCAGTCCATTGCGCGCCCTCTGAAATCAAACGCCTGTGTCAGCCACAGCCTACTAAGCCATGCCGATCATGTCGAGTAGAAGTAAGTAGTGCAGTGCTCCACCATGGTTGGAAGCACTACTGGGTGTTGCCGCGAGCGGCAGCAGCGTAGCTGCCCGCGCGCATGTCGTCCTCGTACTCGGCCTTCTCCTCCTGCTTCTTCTCGTACTCGGCCTCCTCCTCCTGCTTCTTCTGGTACTCGGCCTTCTTGCGCTCGCGCTCGGCGGCCTCGGCGGCCTGCTTCTCGTGGTGGGCCTTGATGCGGAGGATGTGGCGCTCGTAGTTGGTCAGGTCGTCGAGCATGCCGTTCTCCTCGCAGTACTGCTCGATTTGGGCCATCTCCGGCGGGACAGGGCCGTGGACCTTCTGGTAGACGATTCCGTCCTTGGCGGCCTTGCAGAGCTTGGAGAACGGGATCCACTCCATGATCATCTTGAACTGGCGGAGGGAGAGGCAGTTCTCGTGCATGTACTTCCAGATCTCGTTCTCGAGGTGCTGGCCGCGGAGGGTGGCCGGGCAGCGCATGTAGTATCCGGTCGAGTGGAGGAGGACGATCTGCTCGAAGGTCGGGTTGGGACCAGCGAAGGAGACCTCGAGGCCGTGCTCCTCGAGGTCCTTGCTCGCGAAGTTGATGCTGTTGATCCAGTCGCAGATCTTGTCGACCGAGTGCGAGTCGACCACGCTGCCGTCGAAGAAGACCTCGGACTTGGTCTCCGAGGCGCGCAGCTGCTCGGCAGCCTCGGCGGAGGCGCGGCCGAGGTTCTGTGGGTGGCACTCACCCGCCTGGCGCGATGCGCCGTTCTCGTCGGTGACGAAGACGACAACTGGGTGGCGGTAGACCATGTTGGCGGATGAAGTGGTGTGGTTGGATGAGATGCGAGGTAACTCGAGCGTGTTGTGGTTGGAGGTGTGTTTGCTGTTGGTGCTGGTTGTTTGCGTGGAAGTTGTGGGTATCGCCGGGATGCGATGATGTTGTTGTTGGTGGAGGAGGAAGAGTCAAGAGTAAGGGAAGGGGGGAGCGCTTATATAGGCGTCCAGAAGATCGCGTTTGCTCTTGCACCACAGGCAGAAATTCACTTTTCTTGCGTCACAGGCAGCCATTCACTTCGAGGTCCGTGTCAACTTCAGGCTTTCCTAACCCGTGATTTACCCGTTCCTTCTCCACAGATCTGCATTGGAGCATGCAACTCACCCTCTAGACATTCATCCTCTAGATAGCTAACAATAAGATTCAGGGTATAATAGCAGCCGGGACCCCAGGCGAGGACAACACTACCAGATTCTAGGAAGAGAGATGTTAAGAGCTAAGAGGACCATCTGCTCACAGAGTGAGCGCCCTACTGCTTTGCATGACATGCGCACGTTCTGGAACAGACTAACAATCTCTCCTCTTCTAGCCCGCGAGAGACCGTAGGCAACGAGATCTAGCATTCATCTCATCTACTGCAGCTAGCCGATTTGGAAAGCAAGTCTAATGCCCTGGGCATTCAACCAACGATGTGACCGAATCGATCTTTGGACGGCGACAAAAGATATACCCTCCAGAAATCCGGGCGAGAATCGAAAGTTCGGCAGCGGAAACGACGGGTAAGGGGAGCATGTTTCTCTCAGGGGCGGGTCTTGGGGGAGACGATTCTCAGAGCCTGGACCAATGATCCCACAGTATTCGCCAGACACGAACCTGAAGTGAAGACAACTCTAGGAATCCTCCAATCTCCTACCCTTCTGTATAGAAGAAAGCTGCAATACAGCGTATGATGCCTTGATTATCTAAAGATCGATACCAGTCATATTCCGCGCTCGATACCTAGGTTGCGATGGCTGAGCTCTAGCATGACATCTTCCATTCTACATCTTGTCGCACTCTTCTGCCCCTTCTGTCGGATCTGGCAAAGTGCTAGTGAAGAGATGTCTGCCTTGGACATCTACAGTATAGCTAGAAGACCACTGCCCAGTGACTCTTCCGTCAGGATGTCTGATCCTCCAGCCCTTACAGTCGGTCAAACAGAACCGGCTACTCTTCATCCAGCTTTCGGCTTCTAGCAAAATGATGATTCAGGCCTTCATAACATAGTCATTCACTCAGAAGCAGGAATCTCTCCAGCATGTCATATCTATGGCGAAATTCCCAAGTCAGCAGCCCACAGAAACGTTTGGAGGACGAAACAGTACATCGACCTGATCTGTCGTTTGTTGCCGAACGTCCGGGCTGGACCAACGCCCTCGATATCCTCAGGAGAGCATGGTGAACTTCGCAGGCTGATACAGCTCTTCTCATTTCCGGCCTACAAGCATCTGGACAGCACCCGAAGCCGCTCACTTGCTGTGCTACTCGCAGGTGAGATCCAACACGTTTCTTGCTATGTGAAAGATCAGGTAGATGAGAGGGCTATCTGTACCGTGGACGACTGGATTGCGTCGTCTGAGATGTCTACTATGTCCCTCTTGACTGGTCAAAGAGACACCCTGGGCTGAACCACCTCTGGCTCTTAATGGTCTCAATGGAATATCTCGACGATCTGCCATTGGACATCACGAGAACCGTGAGGTCTACTTCTCGTCTGATCCATATCTCTAGCTCAATGGAGGACAGCTAAGCAGAAGCCGATAGTTGGTCTCCGGAACCTTTGGTGTCTCACGGATGTTGCATTCCTTGAACTTCGACTTCCAGTGGGCTTGCTTAGCATCGAGTGTGGGCAACCTGCTTGGGCCAGTCTGGAGTAACTCAACTTCAGTGCCCTGACGATGTTATTGGATCTCATCGCAAGCGAACATTACAAGCACCAAGACATCAACCAGCGTTACGTCCCCGACCACGTTTCAGAGAAACAGATGATCAATCTCGCAGGGTGGGCTGCTAAGGTCAAGGAACGGATGACGAGATCGATTAAAGGCAGCTGACCTTGCATAAGTGCGGCTGAAACGATGCTCTGAAGTGGCAAATGGAGTAGGGGTCATCTCAAAGGTCTTGCTCTGGGAGATCTTCTCTCGAGCTCGTGTAAGGCGTCGCGCTTCAGATCTCGATTATCGCCCGTGAGACTTCCGAGTGCTCTACCTATAGGAATTATCTGCTGTAGGAATGATCTGCTGTAGAATTGCTGTTCATTGGAGCCCGTATGACCGCCTTTGTTGTGGTTCGGTGGTGTCCAGGCTTTCATACCGTTGGATCTGTTCCTCATGAGCTGCTCTCTTGAAGCAACTGCAGCAGACCCGATCCGTTTGATTGTCATACGGCAAAGGATGTCAAATCCAACGGGACGGTGATGCTCGAATGATCGCAGTCAAGGTTGAAGTCAGAGGCGCTCCGGAGAAGCCAGGCGACGGGCGGATGTTATTCCCTCCATGAGAGGCGCCCAAGATGGAGGAAATCCAGGGCAACTTTGCGATTTGGCGCCCTCCATTTCGCAATCGAACCTCCCAAAGACCGGACACTGGAATCCTGGTCGATTTTTGCACAGATGAAACGGTCAACAACATCTTCCGGAGCTTCGTTCGAAGATCTCGACTAAGAAGATCTTGCCTCCAACCGTGAGACCAGGCTCGTAGGACGGAGCACCTAAGTCCAAGCCTGAGCGCTTCGTTGGTATCAGCCGACTGTGCGATGATTGGAGAAAGATTTGCACAAAGAGAACTCCCCTTCGATTATCTTTCAATGGCGCCCGATAGTCTAGATCAGGTCATCGCCTTCGCTGTCCAAGCGATGTACAGGCCGCAACGTAGCAATCGGGGACGGGATCCCAGCTGTATGCAGGCATGTGCGAGAATTTTCAACTATCGGTGCACTCTGGCGGAAAATCTGGGCGAAACTTCGATTCTTTCATCGGCTACGGCAGCCCGATTGGCGATGTTACGAGAAAAACCGCTTCCGGGCCAGCTGGTCTTCCGGACTGCTTGCCGTGAGACCAGACCGACATGGTCTTGAGACAACCGCAATAATAATGCTCAACATAGTGGATGAGGAAACAATCCCATTATGTGCGAGCTCCAATCCGGTTGCGTTTTGGAACCTCCTGACCGCACGCAGTCTCACCATCCACTGGTACGGGGAAAGAGAAGAAACGATATCCGACTGAAAAGACACACAAACTTAGAAGGTCCTAGTAGTCTAAGGCATCACAGTCTAGACGCACTGGTCTTGAAGATGACCATTAAGGAGGGCAGAGGAGTTCTTCCCTCCTTCAATGTCTCAAAGACCATCAGGACCGATGTAGTGACGATTGTTTGCGGGAACCGTCGTCTGCGTCGAAGTCGCCAGGGAAAAAGCGGGAAAGCAGGCGGCAAGCATGAAGCAGCAGCTTTATGCTATCCAGGACGAGACTTTCGACGATTGAACAAAGGAACGCACTTTAGATGCGCATCGTGGCAAGTACATCCGAATTCCAACTACTGCTTTCCGAGACAAACGCCGCCAGCGGAAGGAGATGCCGCGCCGCCTGTGATGCAGACATTAAGATTTCCCGAGTAGCTATACACCTTTGAGCACTCTTCCTCGTCAGATTGTCCTACCAAGTCAAGCCAACAGCCCTGGAGATCTGTCGAACACCACGCGCCACTCATCCTTCGCGCCATGAACGATATCGCTGGATTGAAGGCAACAAGAATGCGGCGGCGGATGGCCTCTCAAGAACCCGTTTTGACGACGACTGCTCCGACACTCCCTTGGTGAAGGAGATAGCTGAGGAAGTCGATGCCCACGAAGGTGATCGAGAATGGTTTTGGAAGACGGGCAAAGGAGGTTACCAGAACGCACTGAAAAAACTGCAAGGAAGGCCCGTCGAGGTTACTCCGTCCCACGGAACGTCATTCTCGAGCTTCGATAATCTATTGGTGTCCCCTCGGGGCGTGGACGTTTCCGTTGGGGATGTGGTGGTGGGAGCAAGGGACGAAGAGCTCGGACTGGACTATTCCGGAAGACAGCTCTCTGTGAGCAACGCTATAAGTTTTGGACCCCGGATGACAACCGCATGGTGGTGTGCGGATTTATACGAGTACTGCCGGACCATGGTCTTGCTAGATGTAGACGCGTCCAAAAGAGCTGCCCTGGAGAAACTTGCTCTGAATTTCAGGTATGAGGCATCAACCGGAAGACTCTTATACAAGCATTGCTCATCATGCGCGATTTGCTTGCTGCCAGACGAGGCGGGCTACTTTCAAGAGAGTGGTGGGCTTTCCATTCGCTCGCCGTCGCCGCCAGGTGGTCTGTGACGGCGTGGCCCTGCTGCGGACACGGAGCAAGGCGCGAGAAAGTAAGAGAGAGGACAGTACCGTCCAAGGACCTCATCATCCATACAAATCAGCGCGCTCCCTCGACGTCGATACGATACGCTGGACTTGGGCATCTTGAAGTTTTACTCGAGTGACCTGTCATACTGACGATGAGTGAAGCGTTGAGATGAGCGCAGTGAATTACCTGCTAATATATTGTTGGAGAAACTGTACATATGCGAGAACATGGTCTGCGTACTGTACCGAGCACCAGTCTCCTGCCTCTGATGTCTCTCCATATCCATGGGCTTTCATGCAACATATCTTCTCAAAGTCTCTCCCACCAATCCAGCGCAAGTAATAAAACGTTTCCGAATGAAAATGCAATCTCTCAGTGAATGCCGCCTCCATGTGCTCCGTCCCAGAAGCCTCCCCACCACTCTTATCGTTGAATCTGTGCAAAACGCAGAAGTCTTGAATGCAGAGCTTCACCTCGCCTGGAATCTGATAGTAGCGACCCTGGAGCGAGTAGCTCGGGATGATGGATCTCTGCATCCAGTTGACGGTTTCGTTGCCACCCATCCTCGGAGCACCAACAGAGCGGCAGTGCAGTCTGTCGGTGGAGATGCGCTCGTCGC